TGTCGCGTCCACCTTTTTATCCGGAAAGTCGCATTGTGGTGATGATATCGTAGTCAACTGCCGCAGTCAGCAACGAGCCGTGGAACTCTTCGACTTGGCGAAATGAGAATTCAGGTGACATGCGAGTGTCTGGGCCTCATGTTCACCCAGTAGACAGGATACGTCGAGGTTCATACAATTCGGCGTTATGCGCGTATACCGTTCCCGTATGTCAGTGCGCTGCCCGGAGCGGGTGAGGCAGAAAGGCGCCGTGCCCCCATGCGCGAGCCTGGTCGGCATGTCAGCCGCCCCAACCTTTAACGGCATAGGCAAATCACCGCGAGCGCCTAATGGCCAAGATTAGCTGCGTGGCAAAGTATTTTCTACCCACTAACGCACTTATCGTTACACTACAGAACGAACCATCTGGTGAAGTGGTTTGGTTCGCGGGTATTGCGATCGAGTGCATCTTGTGGGTGTTTTCCAACATGGGTCTCATGGGGCAGAAACCACTGCCGAACAAGCCTCGATCGTATATTCTCGGATCACTAGCCTATTCCGATTGTACTGTTTTTGGTCCCTGAACCTGTTGCAGGTGAAGCGCTGGATACTTGGTCGCCTTAGACAAGCGTTGTCCATATCATCAAGATATCTCCAATGTCTTTTCGAGTCACCAAGGCGGGTGGCCCTGCCAAACCTCTAATCCACCTAGTCTCATCATGAGACGGCGAGTTGCCCATTTCCTAGAAATCTCATGATTATACTTTCCTTACTGCTTCGTTTTCTCAGATATCCGTATCATCCATTGGTGTTTTTTCTTTCAATCAAACACAACGAGTTTCATTTTCTGTGAGAGCGACGATGACGAGCATCCAGGGTCACATGGATGCTATCAAGCTGGTCTCATGGACTCTCGCAGTCGCTGTGGTGGTAGTACTCATTACGCGGCAAATCGCTAAGACAATTGTCTTCCGAAAGGTTGGCTTGGACGATAGTTTGATTCTCATAGCATCTGTGAGTGAACCGAGGAACTACTGAAATTCACCATAGGGCTAACAAAGTCCAGATATTCGCCATCAGCCTATCGGCTACTGTGCTCATTCTTACAGCCAACGGTCGCGCTATGTCCTTCTCCTTGACCTTTTCGCAGGCAAATATTCTTTCCAAGGGATACTATACATCGGAGCTGTTTTATGTATCTGGTGTTTGCTTCCCTAAATTCTCTATACTCGTTCTTTTCTTCAATATCGTGGCAAGTCGACAATTCCTTCGCCGCGTAGTACTCGCTCTTGGCATATTCATTTCCACCTGGACTTTAGTGTCTTTGGTAACCATCGCATTCCAATGCGAACTTCCACGCCCATGGAAAACAAGCAGTCCACATTGTCTCAATTTTGTAAGTGGATGATTCAAGCAATCGTTCGTATATGGTAGAGATGCTGATTCTCATAGCGCATTTTCTGGGTTATCTATTGTGCATTCGATGTACTGACTGAGATCGCTCTGGTTACAATTCCCATGAAAATAGTCGCGTCTCTCCAAATGCCCCTCTGCCGCAAAATGGCGGTTGTCTCGTGTTTTTCTCCTCGCCTCCTTGTCATTGCAGGGACGATTGTTCGAACCATTTGGGTCTATCCTACCATACCACAGCGACATGACCACCATCGAATTTGGGAGCCACTGGTCGCAATGCAGGTTCATCTATGTATGAGCATCATCACTGCGAGCATTCCATTCATGGTGCCGTACTGTCGGGAACTTAGTCATAGATTGCAAGGATCTACCTCTATGAGATCTTCAATGCATCTACAGGACAAAAAGGTTGGCCATCCCACACCAATCTGGTTTCGGAGACATCTAAAGAAAAGGGATGCTGTTACGCGAAATTCGGATCTTGAAGGTGCTATTCACTATGAACTTGTACCAAGGGTCTCGCCTGGTATTCCCTTCGCAAGGTCGCCAAGCCCTATGGCGAGCGGAGCGCTACAAATGTCACCAAAACAAAAGTCGAGTGTGAAGGGTCTCAATATACACATCCCGCATCGTAGTTCTCTAGGGAGGCAAAGCCATGAGCTAGTAAGCTCAAGAACGCAAAGCTCAGGAATGTTGTCTCCATGGAGCACATCACCGCAAGCTCTACTCACCCATTCCTTCGTGCCCTCAAGAAAAGCGCCTATTCCACCCCCAAAAACCCCTCGCCTTGGTCCCCTTACACCGACCTCCTTTTACTCGGACGACTCTGATACTCCACCCTCGACTGCGTCGCGCAATGAACGATCTTTGCTCTCCCGGCACGAGCAATCAAGAACCACATTCACACCACCCCAGTCATCACCATATTTGTCACCAGGAACTTCAGTATCCAGCGACAAAAATTCCGTGAGAGGAAACAACACTACCTCACCGAAGAGGCTACTCTATGGTCACCCCTCTCAACGCATTCAATCAACCAAATTCAGTTCGAGCCCACGCCTGCAAACCCCTTCATTCTCAGCACAAAACCAAAGCAACGCGCGACCAAAATCCATCGAGGACCTGGTTTCCCCCATGGGCACAGCCATCACCGGCTGGTTTAACAGTCCAGATTCCGATCACCCCCACCAGTTCTCACCACTATCTCCTTCACGCGCACGAGACTCATCGAGCGAGTATGCTTTCTCGTTTGTGGAGTCGCCTGGCATGCCGACGTATCCACTTTTCAGTCATACGCGCTCTCCTGCTAGGACGAATGTTTTCCTCAATGAGCCTTCTCCGTCGCATAGTCTTTATTATACATCCCTCTCTCCAGAGACTGGACGTATGCCTCCAGTTCGCGATGTGAGAAGCAGTCCACGCGTCGTTGTACGCAATGTGATGTAATTGTACGCTTGTTCAGCCTGTATCTCGGCGTTTTGTTTCTTTGGTCAGGCGTTGCTCTCCAATTTGTATGGGCGCAGTATCTTGATTGTCGCATCATGGATAGTGTGTGTTAGGTATCTCAGAATGCCTTTGTTGCATTCGCATTTGTACAATATGTATCTTTTTGTTTTGCGTTTAGCGAGACCAAAGCCAGCAAGCCATTCTTTTTGCCTCTTTGATAAACTCACATCCTTCTGTGAAACATCGATATACAAGGCCATTAAGAATTGATTGAATTGCCAGTGTTTACGGGGCGGGTTGAGCTATTTTATTTTTAATTTGTACAACAAAAACCAATCCTGCTATTAACACGAAATGAAAGATACCATCTTATGGTCAAGGAACAAATCTCCACCATTAATTCAAAGCAATCAGAAGTTTTATTAATGCAGTGTATCCCTAAAAGATGCCACACGCGGAGCTTTAGCTCCAACTCTCCATTCCAGAAAGTGCGGTAGAAGATCAGGAAAAGTCATCAGATTGTGATTTCCATCGCTGAGCTTTCAGAGCTAGACTTCCAAAGCCGCTAAAAATGAATCTTCTAACATCTTTAGCACTACAATCAGCTATGATTGCGTTCTTAAGTCTTGTAATACACCTATCCACAGAAGTAGCGCAAAGATTTCTGCCACTGATCAGCCTCCGAAGCATTGTCCAAATAGTCATCGTTTGAACTTTACGGAGAGGTTCATAGGGGATTTTGGACAGCGTAGCAGAAGTTATTGTGGCGCAAAAGCTTGCGCGCATGGACGATGGGCTCGAAAAGCCCTTTTGAAGTGCTCGTTTTGAATTTCACAATAACTGTGGGGTTGGCAATTGGTCACAATGTTTTCTCACTGCAATAGCCTTATTCTATTTCATACGACGTTTCGCACAATTGTACTCATCGTTCTTGGCGAGGTCCATGTTCATCTTTCCATTTTGATTATATGTAGCATTCCACAGCAGTCATCAGATGAACTACACTCTAGGGCAGCGTGAAGAGACGCATGCACGTCAGCGATACGCAGCCCATCAGACCACGCCGGTACTCCGTGATTGAAAGAGCCATTCATGAAAGCTTATTGTATAGTGACAGGCTTTTAAAGTTTGCTGATCGAAACATACTGCCTTTCGGTATAGTCAGCACGAGTACCTTACCTCAGCGCCCGACTATGTCACAGGACTCTCGTCATTTCTATGTTTCCCAGTAATGGAACCTTTGGTGTTTTCTCTTCGCTTCTTAACCCCCTTTGATCTTATCTTAACACTACCATTCATTAATGCTGCATACCCCAACCATGATTCGGTCGAGCCTAGAGTTAAGTGCACTGAGATCTTTCCACGAGTTGTCGGTCCTCTTAGCTTTCCTGGCTGGTTTCTGGATGGTACTTTGCAATTGTTGTTGACCAGCATGCACTAAATACTCTATGCTTGATGCTTCCTTTTGATTACAGCTGCAAGGCTCCTCTCAAGTATGCACATTGTGGTAAGGATGTTAGATTCTCCCGGCGATCCAAATGAACTGTACTGTGGCGGTACCAGGCCAAGATTATATATAGTATGTGGGCCAGTAATGAGAGCGTGACACAGGCTGGGGAAGACAGTGGGAGCTATGCTGTATATAGCGTAGCGTCCGTTAAAATTGGTAAGAACAGCCTACCAATTCTCTCCAATAGATTGGGAATAATCAAGTCATCCGAAGAAGCGCCTAATTATTATTATTTCTAGTGTCTACGTACAGACTTTTTGTTTACCACCACATCCGACTGAACCCAAGCTCTATTCCTGGCGTAAACCTTCGCAAGAGACTCGAATTAATGTGCTTGTATGCAGAGTGATGTGATGCACGCATCATCTCACATTGAAGCCGGTGGCTGAATGCCGTTTATTTGGTCGGGATGATCGCAGAACACCGTTGTGCAGATCCAGGGGCCTTGTGCGCGGGGTAACAAGGTACTTTTCTATCTACGGCAAAAGGCGGAGTAAATTTTGATCAGATATGACATGAGCCAATCCGTGTATGTATTTTACCGATCCGTTAGTACTTGGGAGCTGCATGGTAGACAGGCCATAAAAGGTGGACTACCTCCGGCGGTGTATGCGTTGCTCCAAACTGTAATCGTATCCAGAGGTCAGCCACGATGCATTTCCTTTCTACTGCCGTGGTCCTTGGTGCCTCATTGGTATCGAAGTCACACGCAGCAATCGGTCCTGATTGTATCAATGGTCCCTTAAGTACCAATGCGATTTGCGATGTCAATGCGTCTCCTCACGAGAGGGCAGCGGCTCTAGTTGCAGCTATGGAGTCGCAAGAAAAGCTGGATAACCTCGTCAGGTATGCAAGTTCCTCGAGTTATCCAACGAATCTTTCTAACAGATGCAGTAAATCCAAGGGTGTGCCAAGATTAGGTCTTCCAGCGTATAACTGGTGGGGCGAAGCTCTTCACGGTGTAGCTGGAGCGCCAGGAATCAAATTCGTCGAACCTTATAAAAACGCTACTTCGTTTCCTATGCCGATCCTTATGTCGGCGGCTTTTGATGATGATCTTATTTTCAAAATTGCCAACATCATCGGGAACGAGGCTCGAGCGTTCGGAAATGGTGGAGTCGCTCCTGTGGACTATTGGACCCCTGACATCAATCCCGTTCGCGATATACGATGGGGCCGAGCCAGTGAATCCCCCGGAGAGGACATTCGACGAGTCAAAGGGTACACCAAGGCTCTCCTTGCTGGTCTCGAGGGCGATCAAGCTCAAAGGAAGATCATTGCAACATGTAAACACTATGTCGGTTACGACATGGAAGCTTGGGGAGGATACGATAGACACAACTTCAGCGCCAAAATCACCATGCAAGACCTCGCAGAGTACTATATGCCGCCATTCCAGCAATGTGCGCGTGATTCGAAGGTCGGGTCATTCATGTGCAGCTACAATGCAGTCAACGGCGTTCCAACATGCGCTGACACCTACGTTCTTCAAACCATTCTGAGGGACCACTGGAACTGGACGGATAGCAATAACTACATTACTAGTGATTGTGAAGCCGTTGCAGATATCTCTGAGAACCACAAATACGTCGAAACCCTTGCGCAAGGCACCGCACTTGCTTTTGCCAAGGGCATGGATATCAGTTGTGAATACAGTGGATCATCAGATATCCCAGGAGCTTGGGCACAAGGTCTTCTGAATCTTTCCGTCATCGACACAGCATTGACTCGACAATATGAAGGCCTAGTCCATGCCGGTTACTTTGACGGCGCGAAGGCGACTTACGCAAACTTGAGTTATAAAGACATCAACACGCCTGAAGCGCGAGAACTATCCCTGCAAGTTACCTCTGAAGGCTTGGTCATGCTGAAGAACGACCACACACTTCCCTTACCTCTCACGAAGGGATCCAAAGTGGCCATGATTGGTTTCTGGGCGAACGACTCTTCCAAACTTCAGGGAATCTACAGCGGTCCACCTCCTTACCGGCACTCCCCAGTATTTGCTGGTGAACAAATGGGATTAGATATGGCCATAGCCTGGGGTCCGATGATTCAGAACTCAAGTGTGCCCGACAACTGGACCACCAACGCACTCGATGCGGCTGAGAAATCCGACTATATTCTCTACTTTGGTGGTCAAGACTGGACAGTGGCGCAAGAAGGCTACGATCGCACTACAATCAGTTTTCCTCAAGTGCAAATTGACCTTCTTACCAAACTAGCTAAACTTAGCAAGCCGCTTGTGGTCGTCACACTTGGTGATATGACTGATCACTCCCCTCTCTTGGACATGGAAGGCGTCAACTCAATCATCTGGGCGAATTGGCCTGGCCAAGATGGTGGTCCAGCAATACTAAACGTCATTTCCGGTGTGCATGCCCCTGCAGGTCGTTTGCCAATAACGGAATACCCGGCAGATTATATCAAGCTCTCTATGCTTGACATGAACTTGCGACCGCATGCCGAAAGCCCCGGTCGTACTTATCGCTGGTTCAATGAGTCCGTCCAGCCATTCGGTTTCGGTCTACACTACACCACTTTTGAGGCCAGTTTTGCTAGCGAAGAAGATCTCACCTACGATATCCAGGAAATCCTGGATGACTGCACACAGCAGTACAAGGATTTGTGTGAGGTTGTACCATTGGAGGTCACCGTAGCAAACAAGGGTAACCGAACATCGGATTTCGTCGCTCTCGCTTTCATCAAGGGCGAAGTTGGACCTAAGCCATACCCACTGAAGACTCTTATTACATATGGGAGGCTCAGAGACATCCATGGGGGCGCGAAGAAGTCAGCGTCGCTTCCGCTTACACTTGGAGAATTGGCTAGAGTGGATCAATCAGGCAACACCGTTATCTATCCCGGCGAATACACACTGCTCCTCGACGAGCCTACCCAGGCTGAGTTGAAGTTGACTATTACGGGTGAAGAGACGATTCTGGACAAATGGCCTCAGCCACCAAACGGAGGCAATCGGACCATGTTTTGAGTCCTCTTTGGTGAAGTGTAGGGAGTTTAGTTGTACATAATGTGTGCGCGAACAATAGATCACCCTGTGACATCGATTCCTTAGTCTACTTACATGTGAACGGAAATCGTGTGCAAATATCGAGTTAAAAGCTTCCTTGCAGTTATACCAAGATTAAAAGTAGACCGGATGCTGTCAAGCAAAAGCCATTGTTGAATTCATGTTCATTCGCTCGTCCCTAGCACCCATCACCATTTTTGTTTCTAAAGATGACCCCCCCTCAAAACTGCAATGAACTTTTCCGTCTCCTACGAATCTTTCAAAGTCATCGATACATCCCTTTAAGTTCCGGTTGGCATGACGTCGCTATTTCACGTTAGCGTGCGCGGGGTACCATACTACACTTCCTATTTTGATCCTCTCCCCGGATAAAAGTCACAGGTTCTCCTCACGTGTACCCGAGACGGAGTTACATCCTTGCAATAAACTCTTGTCTTTTTGATGATCGCTACTTGAAGCTATTGTGATTAAGCAGGGCGATGCAACCCAAGACTGAGACTGCACGCATCACGGTCAATTTCTCCGTGGCCCGACGCCATGATGCTGCTTCATTACGGGCCATGCAGCATGCATAGTCTTGTCCACCGGGTATTTAGTTAAACCCTATGAACTAGCTACTCGCAGACGCGCATCAATTGCATCTTGAACGACAGAAGGCCATCATGACAGTCACTTCCCTTTTGTTCGCAGCGTCGTTGCTCACGCATCGGGCTGCCGCAAAGCTTGTTCGTTCCCCAACACCTCCCATGGGATGGAACTCGTACAATACCTGGAATTGCCTCCCCGATGAAGAGAAGATCCACGAGAGTGCTCGAGGACTTGTAGATCTTGGGTTTCAAAGTGTTGGCTATAACTTTGTGACGGTTGACTGCGGCTGGAATTCAAAAGACCGAGATTCCAACGGTAGATTGCAATGGAACACGACGCTCTTCCCATCTGGTGGCAAGGCTCTTGGTGACTTTCTCCATGATCTTGGACTAGATTTCGGTCTCTACTCTGGAGCTGGCTACTTGCAGTGCGGATCTGAAGCACTGCCTGCAAGTCTGGGCTTCGAACAATTGGATGCAGAAAGCTTTGCAGAATGGGGTGGAGACAGCCTGAAGTAAAATAACATCATCCAATGCACTCTGAAACGATAGCTGACATGAATCAGGTACGACAATTGCTATTCTACATCAAACACGACCATGGTTGATTCAAGCTCTGCCGAGGCCCAATCGCCCGCTCGTTTCCAACACATGGCAGCTGAGCTGGATGCTATCAACCGGGATATTCAATACTACGTTTGCCAATGGGGAATTGGGACTAACGTTGGTGAATGGGCTGCCGATATTGGAACTACTTGGAGAATGAGCAACGACATCTACAACGCCTGGCGTAGCATCTGGCGAATTACGAACCAGATCGTGCCATACTTTAGACATACCACTACCGGTGCCTTTGCCGACATGGATATGTTGATGTATGTATATTGTTCAGATCTCAAGAAATAATCTAACTTAAACAGCGTTGGCCTGAGGGCACTTTCCGAAGAAGAAGAGCGCTTTCACTTCGGCATGTGGGCGATCAACAAGTCGCCTCTGATCATGGGCGCAGCTCTTGATCCGAAGCGCCTCAGCCAATCCTCAATAGACATCATGACGAACAAAGAGGTTATTGCCATTGATCAGGATCCGCTTGCTAAGCCAGCAAAATTGATCCAGCGTAACACCGAAAGTGAATGGGATATCTGGTTGGGTGAGCTTTCAGGCTCAAGGCAAGTTCTGGGGGTTGCAAATTGGAGAAATGACTCTCAGACAGTCGAAGTAAATCTGGCCTCACTTGGTATTGCATCAGCCATTGCGCGCGACGTCTGGGCTGCGAAGGACCTGGGTGTTGTTTCTGGCTCCCAAACTCTCGATCTTGCTGGTCACGAATTACGCCTATGGGTGCTATCCGATGTGGAGGCAGCTGCTCCGCTACGTTCTGGCGCATACCATTCAGCTGCCGACGCATCTTTCTCTGGGCCTGCACAAGTAGTATCATGTGCAGAGGGCGCCTGCTTGCCAACAGGATCAAAGGTCGGATACATCGATCGCAGCGCTGGGGTGACCTTTTCCAATGTCAGTGTTGCTTCCGCCGGCAAGAAACTCCTGAGTGTCGACTTCGTTAACTACGACTACGCGTTCACTACAGCATGGGATTGGGGTGACAACGCGCGAAATATGACAGTAGCTGTGAACGGTAAGAAGGCGAAGAGGTGGGCCTTCCCACTCTCCGGTGGAAACTGGGAAGAGAGTCTTGGTCTTAACATTGAAGTTGACGGGTTCACTGAGGGTGGTGCAAACACAGTAGAGTTCAGAGGCTACGGAGACAGGTTTGCACCGGACTTGGTTGGCTTCAAGGTCCTCGAGTAGCTCTGCGGCCTTCGTTGACTGGTGGAATTCGGACCGTAGCTTGAGCTTTTTTGTTGAACTGAAATATTCCAAAGCCTAATAACATATCTATTTACCCTAGTTTGAACCGGGATTTTTGTTGCCGTACCCTGCACAACGGTGAGCGCTGATCCCGTCCTGAAAGAGTTATGGGGAACCCCGCATCCAGGAAACTGGTGGTGCCACTGCGGGTCAAAAGCCACCGACAATCCGTCATCTGTCATCAACACCAAAGTACATCCTTCGCTTTGTATGCATGGACTACGAGACCAAGTATGCAGCTAGTACCGCATACATCGACGCCGCTCACAACAGGCTGGTCGGTAAAGCAAGGCGATCGCTCCTCCACTAGCCCCTTTCTACCCGCGCACGATGCTCCAACAGAGATATATCGTGACCTTGTCAAGAACGGAAAAATCAAGGATCCATTCATTGACCTCAACGAGCTTTCAGTACGCTGGGTCGGAGACGAGACATGGACATATTCTACCACATTCGACGCACCTCAACATTATGGCAAAGCTGGTGTGACTTCCAAACTTCAATTCGAAGGACTGGATACATTTGCCTCCGTCTATCTGAATGGCGTCTTGATCCTCGAGTCAGATAATATGTTTGAGATGCATTGGATCGACACTACAGGGAAACTGAAAGACCGAGACAATGCACTGGAAATCATCTTTCATTCAGCGCGAAAGAGGGGTCTGGAACTTGTCAAGGAACATAAAGAGCATCGTTACATTGTACACCAAACTGAGATCTCGCGTGGCCCGGTTCGTAAAGCGCAGTATCATTGGGGATGGGATTGGGGCCCCATACTGATGACATGTGGGATTTGGAGACCGATATCGCTGCAGACGTGGACGAGTGAATTGTCAAATCTGGACATCCACTACGATCTATCGCATGAATTGGATTCTGCTACGATCAAAGTAACCGTTGATTGGGAAGGTCCCGTTGATTCGTTGACTTTCACTGTTACGAAGAAAGGGAGCAGTGTTATCGAATGGAGCGGTACCATAAGTCTTCGGTCTAGAGATCGCTGTGAAACTGCGAGTGCATCTGGTATCATGAAAAACATCGAGCTCTGGTGGCCGCGAGGCTACGGTAACCAGAATATGTACACCATCCAAGCGGAAGCTTACGCGCAGTCTGATACGTCCGAATCTCAGAGGCTTCACTCCACCTCGAAAGACTTTGGCTTTCGTCGCGCTGAGCTCATCCAAGAGCCAGATCAAGATGGCCAATCCTTCTACTTCCGCATCAATAACGTTGACGTATTCTGTGGCGGTTCCTGCTGGATACCCGCAGACTCCTTTTTGACGCGTGTCACGCCTTCCGATTATCACGCGTGGGTAAAGCTCGCGGCCGATGGAAACCAAACAATGATTCGCATATGGGGCGGTGGCATCTATGAAGCCCATGCACTGTACAATGCAGCTGACGAGCTGGGTGTGCTGGTATGGCAAGACTTCATGTTTGCCTGTGCAAACTACCCAGCGCACACAGAATATTTGGAGAGTGTAGAAACTGAAGCCAGACAAAACGTTCAACAAGTACGAAGGCATCCAAGCATCATCTGCTGGACAGGAAATAACGAAGACTACCAAATCGTAGAGCGCTACGGACTCGAGTACGATCCCGACAACAGAGACCCCGAGTCCTGGCTCAGAACAAACTTCCCAGCACGCTATATCTACGAGTATCTCCTCCCAAAAATAGTATCCCAAGAATCCCCAAGCACACCCTACCACCCCAGTTCCCCCTTCGGCAATGGCCGCTCCACCGTCCTAAAGGTTGATCCCACGATCGGCGACATCCACCAATGGAACGTCTGGCACGGCACAATGGAACCATACCAACGCCTCCCCGAGCTAGGCGGCCGTTTCGTCTCCGAATTCGGCATGGAAGCCTATCCGCATATATCTACAATCGAGAAATGGGTTACGCGGCCAGAAGACCGCTACCCGGGCTCCATAGCCATGGACTTCCGCAACAAGGCGATTGGACACGAGCGACGCTTGATAAGCTATGTGGCCGAGAACTTTCGCGTCAGATATGATCTGAAGGGATTCGCGCATCTAACGCAGGTCATGCAGGCGGATGCTATGTCGTGGGCGTACAAGTCCTGGCGTCGTGATTGGGGATCGTGCGGTAGTCGCAAGTGTGGAGGTGTGCTGGTTTGGCAGCTTAACGATTGCTGGCCGACCATGTCGTGGGCTGTGATCGACTACGAGCGTGTGCCTAAACCGGCATATTATGCTATCAAGCGCGCTATGCAGCCTCTTGCTATTGGTGTGCAGCGCAAAGTCAAGAGTTGGACTATGCGGCCTGCTGATGAGGTATGGCAGCGAGATACGGGACATGTTGATATGAGCAAGTTGTGGCGGGATGTCGAGTATGATGTCTGGGTTGCTAATGGGACGGTGAAAGAGGCGGAGGGGAGTGTGAGAATTAGGTATGTATCGATCAAGACGGGGGCGAAGATAGGACAGGAATTGAAGCGAGATGTTCGCATCGCTGCCAACGGGACTACCGAAATTATCAATATCCATATGGTGCATGTGGACATTTCGAAGCACCCGGATGATTTCGATTTCACGGCAACTGACCCTTTCGTTATTGAGGCGACGCTACACATAGACGGCCAATATGTTGCAACGGACGTTTCTTGGCCGGAGCCGATCAAATATCTCTCCTTTGAAGATCGAGGGATCAAGGTAGAGTATAATGAGGATTTGAGTGTGGCTTTTGTATCGGCTTCAAAGCCAGTAAAGGGCTTTGTGTTTAGCGAGAGAAAAGGCGTACGATTAAGCGACAATGGCTTTGATGTCATCCCGGGAGAGACACACGAAGTGCAAGTAGACGGCATCGCGGCTAATGAGCTGGAATGGAGTTATGTTGAGATATGACATCTTTCTAAGCATACTAGAAGATATATCATAACATAACACTGTCTCCTCTGCACTTTTAGATCATGTTGGGCTACCACGTTAACCTATGTCACCCTGATCTAGATTAAGAATAGATAAGTAACGCCTAACCCGGTATCATGTATATCCGATTAGCACACAATGATGAAGGTCTTGGGTAAAGAAGTGTTATGCCAAGGATAGTGCCAGGTGTAATAGGATTTTATTCGGTACACATCTAATATCTACCCGAGCGTTCATATCTACGCATACGGATCGAAGAAATAATCTTACCTGTTGTTTACGTAGCAAGGCTATCCATAATGACATTTCACCGCCCTGAATTTATGAATAGGTTTAGGTATGTTAGTGCTTATAGAGCCTCTTAGGAAGACCATTGGCGACGAAGTCGGATGTCATTACATAGCGGTGAAGCCAAGCCTCCAATTTTAGGTAACGGAACCGGCGGTGTTGTAAGGAGTTACCTCCGTCAAGCTATGGCCATAGTACTTGGGCTATGGTTGTTTTCATTGCCAACTTAGCTAATAACTGTCCGTCCGCGATGGAATGACATTGACTAGAAAGAAAGCTCTAATCGAATACATTTCTGAATTCGCATTTTATGCATATACATGTAACGCCGTGACATCTTGACTTGTTTAGTCTCGCACGCTTTGTGTGTTGAGCATACGTACACATCTAGCGCGGCCCAGAAAATAACACATCCAATAAATCATCCTCAAGGCCCTCATCTTCATCGTCAGAATTCAGAACCTTATCACTGATCTTCCAGAATGCAGTCGGCCCAGCAGGTCCATGCACATCAAAGTCTTTGTCAAACCACGTTCCGACAACGCCTCGGGGACAGCGCAATCCACCTACTTGAATGCCATCGCTACGCCATCTCTCCTCACTGCTTTCACGCGTCAGTAATACTCGGCTAAGTGATGCACCAAGAACAATGTAAACATACCCTTCAAAAATTGAAATCGTTTGCCACCTCACTTCGCCCTCAGGCGTCAAGCTCACAGTGCCACGGATGCCAGAGTTGGCATTAGGATCCCATTGAACGTCTATGGATCTTGATTTCCCCTTGAAATGTACCACGGGTAATTCGGGATTGTCTAATGGGCCTGGTGCGGTAACATCGGTAACTCGCAAATCCATGAGTATGTGACGAATGGCTTCATCGACGTGAAGAGGTGCTCTTGGCTGATCAGCAGGAACTCTCCTCGCATCCGTTTCGAAATTGTAGTGGTACAGATCGGTATAATCCAGGAAGCAAACAACCTAAAAGTCATCAGTAAGTTGTCAACGCTATTAGTTTGTGGATGGCATACTCGGGACCAAGTTCCTTGGACTTTGTAGGGATCTTTCATATCGAGCGGGATTTCCGGTTCCTGTAGCAGCGCTATGTAATTTGGTTCATCGACGCCCATATCTGGAATGATACGCTCTAGGGAGTCTAGCCATGGCAGCCGGAGTCGGCTGTTCAGCGTTTGAAGGGAGAAGAATGAGTTGTATCCAAGTACGATCATGATGCTTTCGATCATTTCCCAGTCCACTCGCATACTTCCATCTTTGCGGAAAGGGCCCCATTTGTTCTTATCAGTGTAGTTTCTCAAATCGTATACGCGTGATCGGGCATACGGTTGAGTGAATAGTACATTTTTCCCTCCAGCTTTAGATTGGGGGAAGCTCTTGGAACTGGGGAAGCCGAATAAGCTATGCAGTTTTGCGCTCAGCTGACGGTCTTCTTCATTCTCAGCTGGTTTCTGTGTTGATGTTCCACATCGACTGAAATGCGATGAGCGACACATGAAAGCATCGTGATTTTGGGAGATGTTTTCGAAAAGCTCCTTGATCAAGGTCCTGTTGTGACTAATGCCGAGGTTGTCATACGACATGGTGGCGATAAGACTTTCCACTGTTGATGCGACGAAAGTGAACTCTTCCCGCTGCGATTGTTAGATGGGGAAGTGATGCAAAAAGCGCGAATCTTACCTTAAGGTCGTTATCGGCTGACAACAGCATCTTCTGGCATCTGACTAGCCTCTGCAGTTCTTCAACCCATGCCGGCTCTGGAGCTGTCGGTCTTCTCCGGCGAGGATCATCCTAATATACAGTCAGAATCCTGCGATCACTAGAATCTTGCTGATATCTTCATACGAAGTGTTTGAGATAGAGAGTCTTATATATCCGCCCATTCTCCCTGATGAAGCTGTTGAAGCCCTTGGACGTCTGCGCACAAGCCGCCAAATCCTCAGGATTGATTTCCTCGAGGATCTGAAGGAGAGCATCGTAGCACAAGTCAAGTAGTTTTGTCATCTTTGCGGATACTGCGCCAAGGCTTTGAGTAACAAGTGAGCGTGGGAACGATGGAGATCGTCAGCTAAATCAATGGTCGGGATGTACGAATGGTGACGATGTGGGGTTCGGAGTTAGCGGACTTATTGCCGGGAGGTAAATAGCAAAGAGGCGCCTTCTCAGAAACGACAAGTATGTCAATGACGTGCATTAAGCATATCCGATTCGAATAGAAAGATGCGATGCTTCTGTGTCATAAGAAAAATTGCATTTCATGTGCAGTAAGGTCGTGGCCAGCATAACTAAGGCCACTAGCATAGCAATTAATCAGCAGGTTTCACTAGCGCGTCGGAATTCATCGAATCCATCGTATAAAGCCTCATCACAAGCATACAAATCCCCGGTATCATGCAAACTAAAAAACGCTAAGATTGTACTAGGGGTATCAAAATCTACAAAAAAACACTACCATTCCAAGCGGTCATCGCATGTCAGCCGTACATCATATCTGTCATCTCCCTTCCACACATCACCACCTTTGTTGGTGCTAGCGATGATGCGCCTGAGATCGCTAATCATACCTCCTGGGCCAGAAGCAAATACGTCAGTTCCTCCTCTCACTGTTCCAGCAACAAACTCGCGCACGATTGCGTCGAGGTTGGGTCGTGCCTGGATGTGGTTCAGGCCGAGATCTGATTTCGACACACCGTGGACGGAGAGGGCGGAAGAAGCGTCCTGAGTAGAACCATTTGAGCTTGAGGCAGTGTTGATTTCCTTGCTGCAGTCTGTTGCACCAACCTTTTCCGATGTGGCGGGTGGTGGAATGTCTACCTCCTCAGAAGCGCGCGTGACATAGATGTGAATGCTGGTGCGTAGGTTGCGGCACTTGCGCTTCAAGATGGCGAGTTCGGGTGCGACCCAGTCGATGTCGCTTCTGCGACGGATGGCCCATACAAGAGACATGTGACGGTCGGGGTGTTGCTGTTGGGAGGCGAGATCGAGAAGAACCGGGATAACGTATGCGATACCAGTTCCGCCAGCAATACAGAGGATGTTGGCGTTAGGGGCGAGGCTGCTCATCGTACGCTCGCCATATGGACCAGTCATGACAACCGAAATGCGGGCATCTGCCATCAATCCTTCGTGGGACTCCTCGTGATCCTTGACGTGAGCAATGCGCTTCATAGCTAGCTGGGCAATCTTCTTGGTCTCGCCATTCCTTGCGCGGAAAATGTAAGAGTGCCTCTGGCTGTCGGCACCAAAGACAGGGAGACTGACTGGAGTGAACGGATGACTTTGCCAGATGCTGCTATCAGGGAAGGTAAGGTAGAAATGCTGACCGACGGACCAAGCGTCTTGAGGGTGGTCGAAGTCCAAGCGCACAATATCGCCATTGACCTCGTCCTTGAAGAGAGAGACAGTCGAGGAAGCTGAGCGGAAACCCATGTGACCGGAAGGTAGGAAGTTGTAGTGTAACAGAGCCGACCTGGCAAGTCGGATACCACGATCGATGAACCAGACAATGAGTCCAGGCAAGAGGAAGACCTTAAGCTGCTGCCAGTGGCCCCAGCATGCTCCGATGTAAATCATAGCCAGAACATAGTGGGCCTTGCGGAAGAATTCGTAACCGGTGAGTTTGATTCCCCATGGTGTGGAGAGCAAGACTAGCAGTGTCAAGAGGATCATCGCAACCAAACCCCAAATCATGTATTCCTGCACAATCCAGGCCTTAGCAACATATGGCTGGGGCTGGTAAAGGCGAATCTCGACGATGCACCAGCCGATGGTGTGAAGGGATGATTGGAGGAAGATGATGTATCCGAGCCAGCGATGTAGGAAGTTGAAGCTTTGGTATGGCAGGCCGGTAACAAGCGACAGAATAGACTCACGGCTCGCAAGCATAATTGACAAAGGTGTGAGAGCATACGCCAAAACGCCAACGCGATCAGACCAAGGACCGAGAGAACTGCGAGTTTGTGTAAGACCAGGAGGATTGGTGACGCCAGAAATTTTTTTCGCGGGAGTGTGCCAGTGGTTGTAGATCATGCCGACGAAAGAGAAGACAATAAGGTAACCGCTCAAGACAGTGAGAGTCAAGACCTGAGTGCGAGTAACTCGACCAAAAATCGGCCTGGCGGCATCTGGGAGGAGGTATTGTCGCGAATATGATGCAATTGCTTTTTGAAGTCGTTCGAGTGCGCTGGGTTTTTGTGGTACTCCTTCTCCCACTTCGGCCGGGAGCTGTACACCCGAGGGTTGCGAACGCGCAAAGTGTCGTCCAACACCCCAGATCACAAGGATACCGCCAATAACGGACCACATGATACCGCTGTAAAGCATGGAGAGGTCATGGGCGTGGTAGACGATGTCGAGATAGGTACAATCGTCTGGCACGTTGGTGCAAGGAACCGCGCGGTCGGCATATCCCCAATGGTGTTCGATGGACGATGCCGCGCTTATATTTTGGATATGGCGCGGAGCCAGCATGTTGACGTCCATGTTTGCTGGCGCGCTGGGATGAGGAAAGGCGACAGACAAACAGCGGATGCAAAGATTGTGTGAGGCTCTTTGCTGTCTCCGGAGAGTCGGTGGAATGGTTATACCTATATAATTGTGACGAACCGGAGGCGGTAGATAGTGAGCATGTTTTATCGGTAATTCGAGCACGAAGCCAAGCTTCTAGATGAAGACAAGATGTTTAGAGCCGTCTTAAAGGCATGGGTATGTCGCTAGTGCGAGAGCATTTGAGCAAATAACCCCACAGTTTCGGGAGACTATCTGCAAAGGTTGAGCCCAAGACGGGACCAGACGACGACCCTGTGGATCGAACATGGCTGGATCAAGGACCCTATGAATATCGCATCACCCGCTGGGTCTGGCTCTGCGGATTAGCGTCCAAGGCAAGTTGCTAAAGCCTCTATTCAATCCTTAGGATTCCCTCGCACCGTTTCTTTGCGAATTCACGTTTTTCAGTCTCAACTTTCGCCGTGCGAGATTCTACACCCTTTGCGCATCGCCCATCATGATGTCCCACGGAATGTCCGGCATGGCCGGCAACAAAACTTGCGTCACTGAGGTATGTAAAATCCATCTTTAAAGTTACAAATGCGCAAAAAGAAAGATGATAGTAGAAAAATGCAAAATGCTAACATTTCCCAGATGTTGTGGAACTGGCGCGTCGAGGACGCATGCTTTCTCTCCTCCTCATGGCACATCACCAACAACGGCATGATGGCCGCCAGCTGCGTGGGCGCGGTTCTTCTCGTCGTCTGTCTCGAATTCCTGCGCCGCGTTAGCCACGAATACGATGCCTTTCTCCTGCGCCAATTCCAGCGACAACTCCACGCCCAGCAGGCGGCACTAGCGGCCGCCATGCCCGCCAACTGCTGCGACGGCCCCACGTCCACTCTCGGACTTCAACACGCGACCTTCCGTGCAACCGCATTGCAACAACTCATTCGCTCCATAATCCACGGCGTCACGCTCGGTCTGGCCTACATTGTCATGTTGTTGGTTATGCACTTCAACGGCTACATTTTCATCTCCATTGTTCTGGGCGCTGGATTGGGCAAGTTCTTGTGCGATTGGCTCGTGGTCAGGATACCGTACAACACGCCAGAACAGAAAGAGGAGAGACATGCGTCGATTAGTGCGGCTGGGCCCACGGGCTGCTGTGCGTAGAAAAGTGGGGTTCGGGCAATGTGGAGCGTGGAGTGATTGAAAGATACCCTTTTTTGATGATAGCGATGGATAGCAAATGAACTAGTTTACAACTTTGGCCACTATGGAGATCCAAGAACATGGAAATCACACCCAATTCATGTCCCATGATGAACTTTGGGTCATGGAAAGTGTAAAAACCTCAAAATGGGCTTGCCAGATACGTTGTCTTGGGCTTTTTTTGTCCACTCAAGTGTGACGAGCATAAGCATATACGCACTACCGGGAACAGTGCCGGACCAGAACTCTACCCTCCTCCCCAAAATGTGCTCGCTTGGCGGATCCCTTAGCGTTTCCCATGTCCCTGGGGGCGGGGCACATGGGTCAAATAAACTCCACAATGGCGTTGTTGGGACCGGCCAATTCACCTCTTTTGCGCGCATTGTGGCGACGGAGCCAAGATACGTGGCCCTCCTTCTCGGCCACTTGTAGTCCGATGGAGTGGCCGACGTGACATTGTTGCAATCATTTAAGCAAGGCCCGATTGGCCACTACACAATGACTTGCTTTTCGGTCGTGGGTAAAATGTAACGTGGGCTGGAAATGTTGGTCGGGCTCGACTCGTGTTGTGTATCCTGCGAGCATGATACGAATCGCGTCCAAGGTTGGAAAAGGACCTATTTTTTATTTGGTGGCAAGGGCGAGATAGACCAGAACATTCCACTGGCACACTGACATTACAATAGGTCTTACATTTTCATCTATCTTCACAACACGATTCAGGAAAACCGAATATGGTTGTAAAGGGACCGGTCCGGTGCCGAGCCTCTGCCGGTAGTTTAATCTATACCGGAATCCCCGGCCGGAAGACATGGTTGCAATGCAAGGGCGCTGTGAACAATTTTGTGTCAACATGTCAATAAGATGCAACATCGCAAGAGTATGCGAGAACAATCCTTTAGGTCACTTGATCACCAACATGAGATGCCAACACGCCACTGATAAATGTAAAACAATATGTGACAATCCGTTCATTCCCAATTAGTGGCAAAATACCAATACGATCCAGCCAAAAAGTAAAAAAGTCATCAAGATCGCCAAGGAAAGGGATAGACCCAGCCAACGCCTAGACAAAATCTGACTACTCAAAAACGGCTCGAACTCCCTCAGCCGTCTTCGCAAACGTACCTGACTGGAAGATCAAGAAATCCCGCTCCCACATTTACTTCGCATGCACACTCCAAAGCTTCAAAGCGATTCCGCACAACTTTTTGAGCGCCTGTGTATCCCTGTTCATTCGCGGGTTGGTCGGCAGAGTATTAATCTTGGTAACACACTTCTCGATTTGCATCCTATAATTGCCGGCATCCATGTCTCCGAGAAAACCTTCTTCGCCGTTGGCTAGCCCAATCAGCTCCTTGAGGCATTCGGAGGCCTGGCGGCGGTGGGTGCCCATGACAGTGTTGTTTCTAATCAGGTCTTGGACTTCGCTTTCGAAATAGAGGTTTTCGGTGGCGATGTATTGTAGTACTGCTGTTCGGGCTGCGTGAGCTGGTGATGGGCTAGTCTTGGGGATGATATTCGGAGAGACGTTCGGAGCACTATCAGAACTCGCTTCTTGGGCGCTATTCGCCTTCTCAGTGGTAGTAGCAAGGAGCTTTGCGAAGCCGCTACCTGTAGAGCAGGGCTCTCTATTTTGTTCTTGCTTGATACTATGAGCAGTCGCTGCAAGAAGCTTGGAGAAGCCGCTGCCAGCAGGTGCTGATGCAGCGCCAAGTACTGAAATGCCTTCAGAGGCAGAGGGCTTCACTGCAGGGACAATTGGATGTGGAGTGTACTGCCAATTCGAGTTGTTGTTGAAAGTCGGTTTGCAAGCATCGTTAAAAACCGGCTTGGGAGCAAGTGGGTCCTGGAAAGGTGTCGGATTGTCGAGCGCTTTGCAAATGACCTGAATCCCCTGCATCATGTCAATAGCCTCAGGCGGAAGATGAGGCTCGCCCCGCAGATACTCGAATACTGCCACAAGACCCTCCATTGGCCATGCACTTTTCAACTTTTCAGCGCCCACCTCTTCCAGTGGTATCTCTTTGTCGCATTTCTGGAGCAGGGTATGGATAGGAAGAAGGACCTGATGGGTCATGTCCTGCATGATGTTGGCCGCCTCATAAAGGCCACCAGCCATCAAAGCAGCTTCAATGTATCCGATACCCTTTACGAGATCACGACCATAGAGAGCTAGCTGCTCCAAACGGTTAATGTAAAGTTGGCGGTAGTGATCGAGGAGAGTCTGTATCTTGAACCTCCTAACCTCTTCTTCATGAGCTTGGCGCTTCCGCTCTTCTTCCCGCCGACGCATCTCAACCTTGTGGGCTTCCCACTGGTCGAGTATACTATTTGTGATTTTTTGCTGGTTGTATTCGGCGATGACAGGATCAATGGGATTGTGGCCTGAGGGGAGTATCTGAAAATTCATTCGCTCTGCACCAAGAACATGTGTCAACTGTTCCTGAACATAATCATGGCTCTCTTTATATGTTTGATTTTCATAAAAGGACATGTCTTGGCTAGGTCTCAGATCGGGAGCCGGCGAATCCACGGGTTGGGGATGCGAAGCTTCAGTCTCATCTTCTGGTCCACGAACGCGAAAGCCCTGAGCCCTCTGCGCTCTATGATTTTCTATACGATTCTTGGTGACTAACATTTGTCGTTGTTGCTGTTGTAAATCTCGACGCTTTGCTGTCTTGAGCTTGCTTTCCTTCTCCAAGACGACAATCTCCTTGTCATCCCGCCATTTTGCCATTTGAGAATAGTTCGTATCCGTGATATTTCCGGTGGTTACAGCAGGGACAGTCATAGTAGAGGCTGCCGCAGTGGGTTCTGTTACCGTAGGGAAATCCACGAAAGCGAAATCCACGGTAGGGAAAGCCACAGGAGGTGTAGTGACTACAAAATAAGTTGGTACAGCAGAGGCAACAACAGGAGCAGCCACATAACTGCTGGTCACAGCCGGCTTATCAATAACAGCAAACCTAGCAACAGCAGGCTCGGTCTCATCGGACTTAGGCATACCATTTTCATCCAAGTCCATCTTTGCGAATATCTCTGCATGTTGCGCGAATAATGCCTAAAAGAATGATTAGCTAAGATCTACAATGTTAGGAGAGGTTGGTGCATACTTCTATAACGCTGTTTCTACGCTTTACCTGCTCCTTAGGTTTGAACATACCAGTCAGGCGATCGGCGTTCGTACGGACGGCATCCACAATTTGTTCCATGATGGAGTCTTGGGATCGAAGTAATTGATCTGTTTGTGATGGTGAAGTAGTGAGTGAAGAGAAGATGTGTATCCTTTTTTGAGAATGGAACTTTGAAACGTAATAGGGGTGGTTGATAGTGTAAATTTTGAGCTAAATACATGGCTTGAGATTTTGATTCGCACAAAGATGGTGTAAAGTGGTTTGAGAGGGCAATTTCTGAGTTGACAAAGTATAGAAGATTAATTGGTAGGGATGGCTCACAGTGTCTAGGAAGTCAAAAGCGCGCGTTTGCGTGTATGAAACCTGTTTGGAGCACAATGCAAGGTTGTCTTTGTTCCGCCAGAATGATCTAGAGTGAATTAGAAGTTGTATTGTCAAATTAGGTGATTTGTTTGAATAAGTGCATCAACCTATCAGAGTTCGGAAAGTGGACTTGATACTCAATATTTCCCATGTCTACCGAACATTCCGCCGAGGGGAAATCATTTAGTATCTGGGTGTGTTCTCTCATTTACACAGTAGACATATCCATCACCCAAGATGAGGTTGTTTTTTAAGATAATGTCTCTCAGATCCAACTTTGCGATAGGAAAGATATGCGCGAATCTCGTGCTCTTGATCATTTCCTACTGGCCACATTAACATTGCGACAGCTTTACACTCCTGTTAGAACATATTTCAGTGTATTTTTCTATAGTTCAGAGGTTCTAGGACATAGCTAAAGACAAAGGGAATGTCTCCGAACTGTAGGAACTATAGCGACAAGGAGGAGTGGTATCCAAATTTATCCGCGTTGGCAGGTGAAGACACGTCCAGGAATGCGGACTTGAGCAAACTTACTTGCGTGAACAAGGAGTGCTTCTGATAAGGCAGTTTCCTACTTCATGCTATTGTCTGTTGGGGATACTGTACTACCATGGCGGCCTTGCAACCCCCGCCGCAGAGACTTGGAAATCGCGATCGTCTGCGTTGTGTTCATACTGTGCAGAGTACGATGCCGCTTGCCTCCTACTTATCGAATTCTGGGATGAAGAGAGCGATTATAGAGAGGACCAGCTATAGATGAGAACTACTCTACGACTGGTCGCACTAGTAAGCAAGATGTCGTTTAGACCGCTCCTCGATTGCGGACTGGTCGTGTATTCTAGAGCTGTCGTTCAACACTAATCAGATTGCGAGGGACTCGTTATATGAGTACATTGGAGCTGAAGATCTCCAGCAGCCTTGCGAGAGTGGCCTGATACATGCGTGTGTGAAGTGTTCTTGCATGAATCTTGGGCGATGCTATTCGCTGCCTCATCTAGCTTCCTGCAGCATTCTAATCGCAAAGGACGACAGCAACCAGCACAACCCCTCCTAGTTGCTGCGTGGGATAAATTCGACTCATCCCCCGTTATGAATCTTCAGTAATTCCTACGCTGCGTAGCTTCTCTACACACTCACAACCTAAGTCGAGTGTACTACATCCCGCCATCGCATTCTTACAGCAGGAATCACTAGAAATACTTTTGTCTCTAGGCTTCTCCCTGGCAATGGCGAACACCACCGTCGTTATGTCACCCAACGACTCGAACCACGGAGATCTGAATCTTTTCTGTCGGCAGGCCAAATGGTCCGACGTCATCATTTTTTCCTCGGCAACTACATTGCGCACGCGGCAACGATAACGACCCTTCCGGGGGAAACATGGGTAGACGTTACACTGGCTACAGTACTGGCACTACTATTCCCTGTGTCGGGAGTGGTTCGTGGAGTGCGCGCAATACAAAGTTTGGCAATCTTTGGGCGTAACGACCTGGAAAAGGCGGCAAGGGCAAGGGCGCTCGCCGTGATCGTGGAGAAAGACGTTCGAGGAGATGGTAAGTAGTAGCGCCTTAAATATCATTGTGGCTAATATTCCAACAAGTTCCGAGTTCAACAAAAATCCACGGTGCATACTATCCCCATGACGACTACACTCTAAAATTTATTCCGAAGTACACAAAATCTAAAGCCACTGCAGACTCTGTGCAAATTTCCTGCAACTATAATGTTGTAAAAATACTTGCCTCCATTGGTCAAACTATCTTTGAGGCTGTAACTCTGTACCGAGCTCGAGGCGACCAGATTGATCGCTACGGGTATGCGTCCTTTGGTCTTACCGTGACCCCTTATATATTCATGTCGGTTGTCAACCTGCTCGGAAACCTCGTATGCCCTACGTATTCAACAATATTTATCGTCAGGTCGAATAGCCTACGCTATCCATACAACGTAGACGGTACTGTCGGAGATATCAAGGACATGGGACCAGCGGGAAGGCGAATTTCACTCTATGCTTCTACCGTCATCAACTGGGTCATCGCCGCGGTATGCGCTGCCGCTCCAATCGCCATCATTGGAGGCATGTCGTCATTTCAAAGTGGCTCTAGCACGCTGCCTCAGCGGGTATGGACCATGACCTGGCTGGTATTAGGCAGCAGCTTGGTCATCATCGTAGACACAAGCAAGCATATCCTAGACGCAAGACGCCGCTACCTGATCTTGCAGAAAAAGTACGAAGAAGAGTTGAAAAAGCTGGTTTCTGCATTTGAAAAAATCACTGGGAAGTTTAGGACAGCGAAGGAAAAATTTGAGGCCGAAGCCAGACCTAATAATGACTTAATACAGCAAATTACAACTGGCGCGTTATTGCCGGTGAATATGGACACATGGGAGCTCCAGAAGAAAGAAATCCTTGGACCGGCAAAAGAACTGGCGGACGAGCTTGGAAAAATGCCCAGGGGAAGGCTCTACAAACTAGGATTAGATGAGTTCAAGCGGAGGAACATGATCAGAGATCTGGAGACCCTAGGCTGGGAGATTGTAACGATGAAGGAGGTGCACAGAATAAGAGAAGTCTGGAGCATTATGCAAGAGAACTTCTTGCCGTCTAGCCGTGGGGACACAGAGCCCATGGAGCTAGAGTCAACACGAAAGAGTATGTCCGAACGGAAACGGGATCTAGCGGACGTACATCCGTTCCAGCATCGCGAGAATGACTTTTATATATGGCTCGGGCTGTTGGTCGTGTGTGGTGCACCTGCAATCGGAGGCTTTGTTGTGGTTGGGCAAATGATCATAGACTACGGTGTTTGCATTCGTATCGCTTGATGCCAGACACACACCACAAATGAAACAGAATGAAACTATTCAGAGAAACACGAGATGGCTCTGTAACTTCAGAATTCTTCTATCTTTTCTTCTTATCGATCTCGCTCTTGAAAATTCCAAAAAGTATTGCGATATGCTTTTAGAGCAGACTGGTCAAAAGTTCACTAGATCATATTACCGAATGGTAAATTGGATCAATCGCAAAAGTTTATCGAACAAGTTTTCTACTAACACTACCATAGATTCGCCTGGTTCTCAATCAGGTGGTCCACGCGACGGTCGGAGATCGAGATGAAGTCCAGCTCAGTTGGCGATATGATTATAACAATAGAAATGTGGTTAGATCACTTTTTGTACTAGGCGTATCCGGTGTAATAGCAACTATTCTGCCATGATATATTGTAGAGAACTAAATGTAAGTGCTTGTAGGAAGCTATAGTCCGTTATCTATGAGGTCTATAGAAAAATCTCACATCAGGAAAGAGTGATACTTGCTCGAAGTCGAGGTACCTCGCTTATTCTCCGGTGCAGGGGTGGGTTTGCTGCACAGTGTGTGCAGATAGTTGAATGCGTGAGAAGCTTTCACGTGCGCAAATCAAACCTGAACGACGAACCCAAGACTAAATTCTGTAGCTAAACATGATTGCAACATTCGGTGATAGCAACTGGGTAGTATGTGTCTTCTTTGATGAGCATAGAAATGATATTCGGTGCATAAAGTTGGCGGTGCAACGAAGATGAGCCAGTAAAGGAAATCACTGCGAAAGATAGGAACTAGGGCAGCAAAGGTCCTACAGTTGTTAGATGCAAGACTTATGATAGTTCTTGGATATAAATTCTTGATGGGAAAGAAGCATCTTGAGTGCATTTTCTTCCTAAGTCTGCAAACCCATTAGTATCTGAAAACTACGCCTCGTGCGTATACTACGTTCGTATTCATACCGAGAACATCTCCTGGACAGCCATATATCACAATGAGAGACCCTAGAGGAAATATTCTGGACACCTCAGACACTCGACCCTAGAGTCGTTGTGCATTATCATCGGGTAGCCAAGCGAGTAATCAAGAGCCGAATATCCTGCGAATGCGCTCAATTAATGGGACGAAAGGCAGTAACAGAGCGAGAAGAGTGAGAAGCTAATCAAGCAACATCAACAGACCTTCCCAAGCAGGCGCCGCAAGACCCATCTCAGTCCAAGATACTCAGGGGTTATCTGGCCCCCATTGAGCACTGCCCCGGAACCGAACAACCCGATTCTCTCCAGGATCAAAGTTCCAATCTAAAAAAGGACCCGCCAAGACGGCACCCCGATACCGAGCAGACCAAACAAAAGGTGGATGCAAAAGGAGATTCAGCTTCGCCCAAAGGTCTGGAACAAACAAGACCCCAAACTAATAGTAGCATCTGCAAGGCACACATCCACCCATCAGCCCCATGGGCGGCAACGCGGAAGGCCGTTGAAAGCAAATCACTCGTATTCGCACCTGCACACCCGCGGTACGGAGCGAACATGCACGTTCCCGATCGTCTCCAGCATGAACTTCCTCTCGCAATCTCTAAGATATTAAAGAGAGAAAAAAGGAACTGTGGCGTTTGAGCCCCATCCAAGCCACACCTGCCCTCTTCGCACTTTCACTCAACATTCTCGACTTACTCCTACTCACAGAGCAACCGGCGTCACCATCCTCACAACTTCCCCCTTTTCTTTTCCCCATAATCCTCCAACCCCCAAAAAAGCCGATCAGATGGAGACGAACGCGCAAGCCGATACAAGACACGGTGCATGAACAAGTCCTAGTGTGGCTGTTTTTGTGGCGGGTACATGCTTGGCGTCGTGCCGTCATGCCGTGTTGGCGACATTACCCTTTACCCAATCGGGCTAGACAAGGACACTGCCAGCCAACAATTGGGGGCAGCCGCCTTGAATATGCCAACATGTGGGCGTGGAAATCAAAGGGCTAGAGAGGAAAGGAAATCGGGGGGGGATGGAGGAGTGGAGCACATGCATGTGAGTCGTGTGCTGTGCCTTGTTTTCAAAGGCAGTGAAATACATCATGGACTTGATTTCCTTTGCTCTCGTAGGACAGACTCTACTAGTCCTTCGTTCGTTCTTTTGATACTACTTCCTTTTCTTTTCTTTTTTTCTTCTACCCTGCATTCTTTTGAGAGAAAGAGTTGGTTCGGTACTTTGTTGCGGCCCTGCATCTCCGATCTCGACCTTTTTTTTTGCTGTGTGGTGGTATAGTCCAAAGGTTGTGTGAGTGTTTGCTCAGTAAAGCAAGCCATCGTCACTCGTTTTTCCCCTTCTACTATCACCAGAAAGAAACAAAGAAAGAGAAGAAGAAAAAGAGTTGTTACCAACATAATCCATAATACCTACAAACAACACAATCGGCAATCATGAGACTCGGTCTTGCCTCAACCCTCCTCGCCCTCAGCGGCAGCAGCCTCGTCCTCGCCCAAAAACGCTGCGACGCACCATACCCCGAAGTCTACTGCAACACGACTTCGATCCTCGCCTTTAATTCTGACGCCTGCAAACCCTTCCATATCTTCGTCGTGCGCGGTTCCGATGAACCATATCCCGGGCGTCTGGGTAACCTAACGCAACAAGTCTGCAGCGCGATTGGCGGCACCGCTAAGTGCGGATACGAGGACGTCGAATACCCCGCAAAGAGCTCCGCATGGTCAAAGACGTCATGGTGCGATTCCGCTACCAAAGGCGCGAAGAACGGACAGCAGCAGATGCGGGCATACAGCGAGAAATGTCCAGAGAGCAAGTTGATTGTGCTGGGGTTCTCGCAGGGAGGCTCCGTAGCGCAGGATATGCTGGGGGGAGGCGGCGGGCCGACATTTGAATGCGAGCAAGGTGATAATCCGGGTTTGGATGCTAGTGTTGCTCCTGGTGCGAATGGTAATGATCCCCTTCCCCCCCAAAAAACATAAAACATTTACAATGTTAGCTAACGCTACCAAAAAAAACAGTCGTCGCAGCAGTAACCTTCGGCGCCGTCTCCCGCTCCCGCAACCAAAACTTCACTGTCGGCGGCGGCAAAGACTTCGACGGCACCCGCGCGCGCACACCCGCTCAACTCGCAAACCTAACACAATATTCCGATGTCCTGCTCGACTACTGCCACTACAGCGACCCCATCTGCGCGGTCGGCTCCGAGCCGGAAGACGTAACCGAGCACCTCAACTACTTTGTCAAGCACAACGCCGAAGTGATCAAGTGGGTTGCCGGCATGGCCAAGGCGAGTACCGGTGATGTGAGTGTTCGACCCAGCAAGCCCGTTGTTGTGCAGGCGGCGCCCTCGTCGACACAGGCGGCGTCGTCGACGCAGAGTGTTGTGCCGGCGAAACCGATTCAGACGGGGGCGTCCACGTCGGCGGCGGAGCTTGCGAGTGCGGTTTTGCCGAGTGTTACTGACGGAGTGGCTGCGGCTCAACAGACTGGTGTTGCGAATGCTGCGGCGGGTGCGGTGAGGGGTGTGCTGGGGTATTTGACCGTGTTGGGGGCGGTGGTTGTAATGTTGGTCTAGTTTGACTGGGCTTACTATCTTCATACCAACCCTCTCCGGCATCTCCCTTTTGCATTTATACCCTGCATATACATACACACCTTGCATTTTCCCCTCATTCAAGGAAAGGAAAGAAAGAGGAAAATTGCATGGAGATAACGGCGTTTTTTTTATTGTCACCGCGGAATATTTTACTTCGAAAGACTTGGAAACTTATTAAATTATTTTTGTATATATGATTTGTATGACTATTTCTAATCTTTTTTCAATCCCTTAGAACCCGGAATATACAGTTTCATTCAAATATATACATGAGACTGAAAGTGAACACTGTTTACAACAGACCAATAGTTCGCTGCTTCATTGTCCTCACATCGACGTTCTCCCACAGAGCAGTACTGAACAAAGTGACGCAGTAGACGCACACCGCAGCGATAAGCATGTACCGTTGTGTCTGGCCGTAGCTGAGGTTGATAGCATCGCGAGTCGGGCTGCCAACCGGGTAACTAGCCTGAACATCCATATCGCCATAGATGTTCTTGAAGTTCTTCATGGCATCTGCGGGTAGATTGGCCTGGAGACGAACAGGGAATACACCGGTCCAGATTGCGCCGGCAATGGTAGATCCAATTGCACTTCCAATGGCGATAATCATTGCCTCGACGGCAAGGAGCGCAGGGAAATCCTGCTGCTTGGATACAGCCATGAGTGTCGTCTGCTCCGAGATAACCAACACACCGCCACCAAAAGCGATGAAGATCATACACATGACGATGTATCCAATGTTCTCGTCAGGCTGGCGGAACTTGATCATCAGACCAACACCCAGTATAGTCAGGGGCACACCAAAGAACATGGAGTAAATCTTCAGTTTGCCGTAATACCTCAGCGCCACACCGTACAGAATGCAGATGAAGCAGCTGCCCATTGTGTAGATATTCGCAATCCAGGTAGCGTGGACTTTGGTCTGGTTGAAGAGGACGACGAGCAGCGAGTAAAAGTACGAGTCCCAGCAGTACCAGCCGATGTACAACGAGGCAGCCATTGTGTAGGTGAAGATGACAGTGCGGTTCTTGAGCAGCGGCCATGGGATAAACGTGACTGTAGCCCCGTACTTTTCCCACATGCCAAAGGCAACAACAAGTAGCGCTCCGAAGACGATGAAGCAGATGATCAAGGGTGACTTCCAGCCTTCGGCCTGGTATGAGTAGATGTTGAAAGCTAGGAGGAAAAGCGAGAGCCCAGCAGCTAGGATCAAGAGACCTATGGCGTCAAATTCGCGGAGGTAGTAGTGTACAGTTTGGGTAAAGTTTCCGCGGCTTGGGCGTGGAGTGATGAGGCCTTGGCGACGTGCTTTCCCCTCGTAGATGACGAAGAGGGCGATAAGAGGGGACACGACGATAGGAGCAAGGATGGCGAAGATGCCAAAAGCCCAACGCCATCCGATACCGCCCTTAGCCTTGATACCGTTGATACCGTATCCGTAGATCCAAGTGGTAATGAGCCAAGGAGAGGAAGCGTATGCGATGAAGAGACCTCGGTTCTTCAGCTTGGAAGTGTCGGCGATGAAGACTGTGATGGAGAAGTTGATGCTGTTGGAACCGACATAGAAGAAGGTCTGGGCGGCGCAGTAGGCTTTTACGTTGTTGCAGCTTGCCATTAGGATAAGGCCGATTACATAGATGAAGACACCCAGGGACAAGCCGAAGGGTCGGCCCCAGATGTTGAGGATCTTGGCGTAGGGGAGCTTCCAGATACCGCTGACGATGGAGGAAATGACAGTAGTCAAGGCTGTCAGGGAGTGTTCATTGAAGCTACTAGTAACATAGGGCGAGAGGGTGCTCGAGGTGCTTGATACGTAAGCAGTGAAGAACTGGATGAACCACATGCTAGGATAAGTTAGTGGGGTCTAGTTGTGATGGCCATGGTGCTAGCAGTGTAAACGTACAAGACGTATGCGAGGATCAAGTCCCTCTTCTTCCAGACAAGGGAGGCTGCCTGAACTGCCTGTACACCCTGCTCAGCGGTGGTATCGACCTTGTTCAATTCCTCGTCGGAATTCCGGCTTAGCGAAGATCCCCTCGGAGTACCCAGCTTCTCATCAGGACGAGCAGCCTCCATGCTGGTATGACCCTGAACGGAAGCCGGGACATCGGCAATATCCCTGTTGTCAGTGTTGTGTGAAGTGTTTGCAGAGAGGATAGCACTGCTGGTCAGTCCCTTGAAGTTGAATCCCATCTTGGCAATTGATGGTGCAAATGCACACCTAGAGCAAAGTTGAGGAAAAGGAAAGGTTGGTCAAACAAGCATTCGCCTGAGCTGCAGGCTCATCATATAGCCAGCAGCGCTCCACGGGGTCCACAGATGAACCTTGCCTCTGGGTGGATAACATTGGCGGGTCATGGATGAGTAGCCTCAGGCCACGCACAGGAAGAGTAACTGGTGTGAGAGCGAACATGGATTCAAGCAGTTAGTTGCATGCAAGTGAAGCTTAACCTTGCCCTTGGGAGGTGAATGTCCGGGTTTAAGCTCACCGAAGCCCGGCCCAGCCAGTGAGGAAATCTTATCTTGATCACTCCCCCGGTACCGGCCGGAGCAGCTGGCCAATGAGAGGTGCACATGGGGACGCGCGGGTTATCAGATGAAAATTTTCCATCTAATCATTATCTGATGGAAACCCGCGACATTCACCCGGTTACCTTGTGGGGCAGTCAATGTGGCGGAGATGAAGACTTGGAACAGCTTGGTGTTATAGAATAGCTTGTGGTGTGCATTCACCAGCCACGGAGCTGCCGATGCCAAAGTTGATTCTCGTTAGGTACTCCACCCACGGTACAGCTTTTCACGACTGTTGTACACCAATGTAAATCTGCCCCCAATCCACCTCGTGTTGTGGTGGCGGACTCGACATGGTGAAATGGGTGGGCTGATTGCATGCGATAGGAATATGGTGCGTTCGACATGCGGGTCCATGCAGGCGTTGGGTAACAGTAGCTAGGACTTGATCCTTCCGACCCAATGCCAGGCGAGGTCTCGTTGAACCATTGCATTCTTGTTTATTACTAGCGATTACGATGGAACAACTGGGAGACTGTAGCCCGACACAAAGGTTGAGCTTACGTACATAGTATACGAGCAGAGTCGGGGCTTTAACTGCTTGTTGCTACATCGTATGCTACATGACGCGGCTTCGATAGCCGATCCCCGTAGCATGTACTCCGTTCACCACCGCTGTAATACAGCACGAATCCAAAATATGCGCATGTCCATTGGTATGTGGGGTTAGGCGATGATTGACGTCAAAAGTCGGGCAGTCTGATGTGAGGATGCATATGGTACCTCCATACTTTGCAGTGCACGACATTGACGACTGTATGACAGCAGTGCATTTTGACGTTTCTAGACGCAGGCGCTGACATTGTGTTCTCAACCTTTTGTCTATGCTGTTGTGGTATTTGGATATGGACAGGCTGTTTGGTATCGTCACTTCTGCTTATCCTCACCCAAGTCATGGTGAACATACAAAGGGCAACCAGCCCTATTCCTACGAGCTCGCCTCGGATTGTTTGGGCAAAGTAAGTTGATTGTGCATCCTAGAGTAGACTATAACCGCTATATTTATATGCACCCTGTCCATACCATGTGCCTGTACTGTCCCGACGAGGGTTCTGTTTCGGTAGACGGCTAGATGACGTCTTCTGCATACATAGGGGATTTTAATCTCACATACCTAAGCCATCCAGTATATCCTTCAGTTACGATTGCATCCGATACCAACAATGCCTTTGATGAGGCGTTTCTGCTGAGCTGAAGTGGCTGCATCCGAGACAAGCAGAATGACGCTAGTGAAGCCAATCCCGGTTGCGTTCCGAAATAGCTTCGGGGAGCGCATTCCTTCTTCCAACCTCGTCGTCGCGCCATGAACAGCCATCCGTCACCAATACAACATATGGACATGGAACGGAGGTCGTCGTCACCCAAGCGCAAGAAGGTCCGCCAAAAATACGCGCCCAAAGCTTGTACGTCGCGCCTTTGGGCTCTGTTAAGCCTCTCCCGGCATCCTTGGAGCTTCACATGCTGCATTCCGATGGTTCCGTAGCCGCTCAATACAGCACGCGCATGGCAGCAACACAACGGGTGCATGTTGAGAATTGTCAGCTAACAGTCACTTGTAGGCGTATTGTGCAGACGGTCGAAGCTCAAGGTACGTCTTGGCCGTTGCTCGTATCTTTGTTATGGTTGTGCATCTTCGGCTCCATTTCCGAGTGCTTCACAAGCTTGGCTGGCGCGAGACGACCTCTTTCGCGACTGATGGCTTTACCGCAGGAGCTCCTTCGCACATGATCTGACTATTCTCCAGTGCTCCGGCGAAAACCCTTGCCAGCGATGTGTCGATAACGGCAAACGGTGTTTCTTTTCCGAAGACCAGACGGCAGCCGAGGCCCTTCAGCATCTCAGTCGCCCAACTCCCTCCCTCCAGGCACAGTCGTCGACTACCAGCGGCAATGGCAGCAGTAACTCGCGCCGTAATCTGCTGCCACAAGATGAGACAGGGCGCCGGACGAGTGATGCCAGCGCCCGTGGCATGACAATGGAGGCGCGCATGGCCCGTGTCGAGGCTATGATGGAGGCTCTGATGCGCGACCGTGGCTTGACCATGACGCCCATGGGCAGCGTAGAACGAGATGACGGTACCAGCGACGGCTTTCGAGGGAGTGATGTTGCTGCATTTCCTATTCCACCACTGGATCCCATCAATCCAGCTCTCGTTTTCATGGGCCAGTCAGCCCTCTTCTCCCAAGAGCCCTCGAACCCGACGTCGTCCACCATGTCCGGCCCCGAATCCTCCTTTATCGTCGAAGCTCCTCATCTCGTCCATCTGGATGGACGGGCCATGTCGTTCCCTAGCCCGGCCGAATATCAACAGTACCTGACATCCTTTTTCACAGATATACATCTGTCTCACCCCTGCATAGACGAGACAGACTTTCGTAGTCGCGGCGAACACATGTTAGCTAATGCTTCCATCCAGTCTGAGGAACGTCACTTTCTTGCCCTCAACTATATTGTCTTTGCCTGCTGCGATACACTACTGAATGTTTCGCCGCTTGATGCTAGTAAACCTGCAGGCTGGCAGTGGTCAGAACTAGCTGACGACCTCCTGGATAAGAAGTCGTTGGTCAGCGGCAACGGTGACCTGACACTGATCCAGTGTGTGCTTTTTCAAGTAAGTCCGATGTTTGTCTCAATAGCCATGCTGGAAACCAACTGACATAAATAGGCTTTGTACTACACGTTCGTTGACATGCCTGGTCCCGCCTACAGTAGCATTGGAATCGTCGGTCGGCTTGTCTTTCAACACTCTCTCCACCAACAGTCTACATGGACCGATATCACGACGCAACAAGCATATGAACGCATATGTGTATTCTGGAACGTCTTCATTGCAGACCGCTTCATATCATTAGCATGTGGAAGACCATACAGCATTCATGAAACTGATATCCAGGTCGAGCTGCCTATGGAGTTATTCAGTCGGGTAAGTTCAAGTAGTATCAATCTGGCCCAAAATTCTAATTACCTTCAGGCAATGCTCACAATGCAACTTGATCTGGAACAAGACCCACGAATCTTCATGAATCAGTACCTACATTACATGATACTCTGGGCACGTTACGTCGACTGTTCCATGGAAGGACGCAGCTCCAATGGCCAAGCTCAAGAAGCCATTGATGCACAAATCACCCAGTTCCTCGACCATGACCTTCCCGAATTGCGCGTTCCTTATACACAAACAGGATCTGGTGTTGAGTCGCCAGTAAAAGCCTTTTTGGTTCAGAAGAAGACAGACTTGGTCCTCTGGGGCTTCCGTCCAGTCATCACATCTCTGCAATACAACGACAGTCATGCAGCTCATTTCAGTCATTTGGCAGGAAGCACTGTCACTCGAATGGCTGTGTTTGCACAAGATTCACGAAGTCCCTTCAGCCTTCGCCACTCCATGATTACCTCGTTATCCAATGCTCTCTTAGTTCTGTGCTCGCTCCTAGGGCGCAATGGTTCTCCGAGGAACCAAACTGACATTGACTCTTTCCGACATGTGCTGGCTCTGCTCAACGACCTCGCATACAGCCAGCCGTATGCAAAGCGTGTCTTGGCCGATTTTGAAGCTATTCTGCCGGTGATTGAAGGAGTGATTGAAGGTAAAGATGTTCCTGCGAATATTTCAGATTTGATCCCGTACAAAGCCTCGTGCCCTCAGATCCGTTCATCGCAAGTTACTCCATCATCCAAGCAGTCTACTGGTAGCGGGAAGGACTTTGCGGTCGGTAATGGTCACACGTCTAATGGAAGTGAGGCCGGTCATGGTGTTTTGTGGTTTTGATATAATGGTTGGAATTCTGGCGCGTTGAAGAAGTGAGTCAAAATTGTGTTTCTGGGAGTGGATAAGGAAAAGGGGCGTCTTCTTTTTTGGCAACTGAGGTGTTCTTGGTATCTGGAGTTTAAAGGTTTTGTATCACGTTGTTTGTATTGATACCCAAATGCTTGGCTATGCGGTCTGAGTGTACTTTAGAAATGAAGGATAGTAATAGCAAGATTGGAACTTTTATGAGTGACTGGAGCGAGATTTACAGCGTCGTCGTAAAAAGAAATTGATTACATATCTTCTGCCATGAGAAATATTCTTTAATACCTTGAATGGAGTTTTCCTCTTCCTGGGATATGAAGAAAGTTTACAGTCACAAGAGGGTGTATGAATACACAAATGTTAACTCTAAATCCCATATGTTTTACCTTGACCTGGACAAATACAAAGAGAAAAGGATGACGGATGTGCTGACTTGATTTTAGGATCTAGGCTCACGGTCACGAAGGAATTAACATGCGTTTGTTTTTTTGAAGGTGGGTAAGAGGATGCTGTCACGCTCTTTGTTAAAAGACACGAGATAAGAAGGTGGAGAGCATAGTTCGAGATATGGCATTGTGCACGAGGACGGTAGTGGGAGGAAAGATGAGATGGTGGGTTGAGTGAAACTTGGAACAGACTTTGTGAAATGTGGTAAAGGGCAGGCATGGCGTGAACAAGATATGGTGTGCACACGATATAGCGTGATGATAAACGAATTTAGTCAAAAAGTTTCGTTGCAGCCGTTGACAAGACGTTCCTCGCATTCCCTGTTTCTAATTCCTCGCGCCAACAAGGAACCAAAACCCACTTCCGTCATCGCAAACCACTCCACCCCACCATCAACCCAAACATGTTCTCAACTCTTCCTGGTACCCGGCACCAAGACAACGCATCCACCTCGATTCCATCTATCTCCACACCACATGACCCGCGGCTCTCATCAACGCCTCAAACCATGACGTCTTCTCCATCTCCATCCCCGATCCATCAGAAACACACATCCCTCATCAGCTGCTCTTCAGCTGCTCTTCGAAAAAAGCAACCCAAAAATCATCGAGTCAAAAAACAGGTTACACATCACCAACAAACTCCATCGATCGTGCAAATCGTGAGAAGACCGCAGAATCGAACATGTTTGCGGCGGAGAAAAAAATACTCCGCGTGTGACCATTTCCCATCCATCCATCCCATTCATCCTTACCAGACACGTTGTATACCCTCCCTGCCTCCCTTCCCCCTTCCCGCTTCTAAAACACGCATCCCGGTAGATCACAAACGCCCCCTCGGTAGGAAAGATAGTCCCGGCAAGTTAACAACTCAACAAGGTAGCACACTACTCCATCCCGGTCCCGTCGCACGCGCACGTGTATCCATCCATCCCTACCCTACCCTGTCCTATCCTCCCCCAGACACAAAAGAAGTACCGAACTACAGGGTGAACCAACGTCAACCCCCCTAGTTCCACATCCTTCGGAACCCGAAAGATAGGCGTTTTATGGGGTGACAAGTCTGGAGCGCGTTCCTTGACAAATCTCAACCCCCATACTCTGTACATCGCGGGCCTTTTTTTATCTGTTTTCTTGCAAGGTATATGGATTATGAAGGTGCGTGTGACATTCACCCTTCAGACTGTCGCTGCACACTGCACCCCACATCCCCGTAGCCCCCGTAACACGTTTTACTAAGGTATGCTGGTTGTTGGGATACGAGAGGGATTATACGCGGTATGTGATACTCGATCATCGCCATCGCCATCGCCATCGCCATCGAAAACGAAATGAGGCGTATAACGTAAATAGTGTATTTCACGGCTTGATAAGCATCATCGCATCGCGTTCCCTACCCAAAGCGACTAGATGGAAAGAGAATGGGGAGAGAGGGAGGGGAGATGGGGCAAAGCGTTCCTCACGTGTGCACCCCTACATTCACAATGAAGCATAAACATACGCATAAGCATATCACGTGGTTAGTATACTAGACTTGTGTATACCACATACACCAATTTTCCCCCTCCTCTTCCAGCACGCATACACACGCACACGTGCGCATGCAGGCCAAGCTACGTACCCACAGCGGGCAAAGGCAACTCACCGTTTACCATACCTTGAATCTTTACCCTCCCGCGACGAAAAAAAGGGAGCGGACGGAGAGGCGCGCGGCGCGCCCGTCTGATGTCAGCAGTGTAAAATGGGTGAGATGAGCGACTCGCGACTTGCATTTAACCCCCACGCGCCCGTTTTCTTGTCAAGGAAGGTGTGGGAGGGGAGTCCCAATGAGATGGGAGTCAGAACGAGAAGGATCAAAGATGCCGTCTCTTTTTTTTCTCTTTCACACGTGGATGGAGGAAAGGCGTTGTTGGGCGTGTCCGGGATTGAAAGAGTGTTGGATATATACAGTAAGTACATATGTACAAACGGTGCACGTGTGTACAGTATGTGTATCCTATTTGCTGGAAGGATATGTGTAAATTACACCCCCATCCACCCACCCATCCAACCGTTTTTTTTGTCCCCGGAAACCCCAATACGGGGGGTAAAGAAAGGATACGCAAAAAGTTTCAAATCAACCATCATTCCCGTACGGCTGCATACCGAGAGAAAAGAAAGGAAATTTCCCCAGATAGAAACGATACATCAACCACACCTCTCATCTCATTTTACCCACGCACCCATGTTAATCCGCCCCAAAATCTATATCCATATCCACATACATATATACCCGGACCCGGTATTACAAGGCACCCAGCCAGCACGCACACACACACACATACTACCCTTCTCTTCTCGGGCCTAGGGAACAATATAGCATATCCACCACCACCACCACCCGAAGGGAAAAATAGGCATCCCTTTCCCCCCCGCCGGCTATACACCCGCCCACCCAACCCACATACCGAAACTCGGACCGTAAGTAACAAATGTAGTGACTAGCCTCTAGCTGCTGGGAACCAAAGAAAAAAAAACAATCCCCATTGGGGGGTTACCGTTTGGATTTGCTTTGCTGAGATGAGCAGCAGCAGCAGTATCATCATCATCAGCGTGAGCATCAGCACTCAGGATACAAGGGGGGGGGGGGATTACACTCTACTCGCTTTTCTTTTCGTTTTTTTGTCTTTGTACGAATTCGGAGTCATCACACCTGATTGCTAACTTACCGTTTGCAAACTGTGTAATCTCCCCCTTTTGTGCTACAAACCCGCATAATGTGTATCTTTTTTGTTAGCGGGGGAAGGGGGGCGGTGAAGGCGGAAGGGAAAGGTGTGCGCAGGGGAGCATGGAGGAGGGTGGGTGTGTGTGACCTAGCCAAAGAAAATGGTGGTGGGGAGGGAAAGTCCCGAGGGTGTGGTTACAAGGCTGTGTGTGTGTGGGTGTGTGGGTGTTTGTGCGTTGTGCGAGGGTGAGCGGTGATGGGAATAGGCAACGCTCGAATGGTCAGCAAGTAAGAGATTAATAAAGCTGGATGATGAGATTTAGAGATCATGCATGTTGGGTCAGCGCCAATGGGGGGGGGGGCGGCTTGGGTAGCTGCTGGTTGCTTTGCTTTGCTTTGCTCCCCGAGAGAGAGAGAGAGAGAGAGAGAGTAGGGAGCACGAGATAGATGAAAGGGAATGTGGGCGGCGCAGATGATCGAGTAAGCAATGCATGTTGTACGTGTTACCAGAGCTATACTTGGGAGGAGAGGTGTGTGTGTGTGCATGTGTGCATATGGGTGTGTGTATGAACCACCGGCTCGGGAAAAAGGCCGTTACTAGAACCAACACACATCCAAAGGAAGGAGACCCTGAAGCGTTACATTTCGCAAACAAGAACAAAAAAAGAGTGGGCATATGCTTGGCTCTAGGCTGAAAGCGACAAGTGGTTGAGCAAGAACTGCCTCTCTTTCTCTTTCTATCTATCTATCTCACGCTGCGTCAAAGGAAAACAAAGAGTGTTACAAACGAGACTTATGCAACAAATGTTCCCTCCCCCCATCCCCAAAGTAGAAGGTCGAAAAAGATAGGGTCTCCCCGTTGGCGAACGAGGGGGCTCTTTTGGCATAATCCTTCCGGGAGAATACTGTATATGGGCAAAAAATGGTCATGTGTCTATTGGCCAGTCGGCAGAATGTTTTGAGCAAAGAAAGAAAAAGGGTTTACATGGGAACCGGACACGGGTTGGACGGGTTGACAAACTAGCAAAGTTGCCGTGCAGTTGCAGCTTTGCGTGCCGCTGCGCCTGCGCGCGCGCGTGCCCTGTCCCCCCCTCTCGCCGTGTGCATATATGCTTCAGGTACATACCGTACGGTGGGTGGGTGGGGGAATGAGGGGGAGGCCTCATCAACCCGCTTCAAAAAACGCCTCATCTGTCACTGCCGAATCCCACAAGGCAAAGGCCGAAAAAAAATAAAAAAGACGGCGACCCCACGATGGGCTCGGGTAAGCTACGATGATGATAAGCGGGCACACGTGGGAGCAGAACGTTACCATAGGAGCTGCGCTAAGCACGCGGGCGTTGTGCATGTGAACGATGCGCCGGACCAGGGTAAATGAGCCTGGACTGGCGTCGTTGGTTCCTCTTTTCACAAAGTCGGCGCGCGGTTCGAAAGCAGAGAGGAGCAGCATGCTACTAGTAGGTTTCAACCGGTCCAGAAAGCGTAAATGAGCAAAATGGCGGTTTGCTTGTGACCTTTTTGACGGAGAGACCGGCGCCTTGGTCCGTCGACCTGCTACATTGCCGCCCACGACCCGCGTCTCCTGCGGGCTCGTCGACCTTGTTGGTTATCAATGTGTTTATCAATGCGCGGACAAAGCGATGCGACCTGGGGGGGTTGGATCTGTGTCCATGTGGATATGTCTGTGTGTATATGCCGCCCAGCATGTCTGGTCCCACTGGCCAGGGAACTGGGAGAAAATGTCTTGTTTGGGCATCAACACTTTGATTTCTTTGGGCAATCGACGATGGCTGATTTTTTTTTGTCGAAGGCCACAAAGAAGTCCCGGCTCGGTGGAAAAGTGAGCATAACATATTCCGTATCAATTCGCTGGGAGCAAAGCCCGCCGCTAACGGGGAAGCACAGGAGACAATGCGATTCGTGTAAAATCCCTCACAAATGATTCGTGCCGCAAGGACCGGAGACTAGAAGAACGCTCCCCCCGTGCACTAATGAAGTTGATCAAGGGCTTTGTCGCCGCGATAGGAAAGCTTTCCTGTCCTTTTGAGCGAGGTCCAACTGTCGGTAAGATTCCGTAGGTACATTGTCGCTGAAACCCTCGGGTAATAACAGTGCGGCACAGAGGGGGTGTGTCACATGCACGACGCTTGTACATATTGTTGCACTTTGAAAGGATGATCAAAAGGCATCTAACCTGAGTAGCATCCCTTTCCCGTCGTATTAAAGAATAGAGTTGGAGTTATGGGTGGGAGGAAGGGGAGCACTGGATGCGATGTGCAACTTTGTTCGCCAGAAAAGGGACCAGATTTGGAGCAGTGCTTCGAAGATCGAACATGTATAGTCGGGGACTCGACGCGCAAGACAATACGATACAACAACAAAGCTGGGGGGGCCCGTTGCGACGAGCCGACACAACGACCGGTGATTGCGAGCGACCCCCCTCCCCCCCCCAGTCGATTGGCCGCTCCTCCTACGTAACAGCCACGCGACGCCTCCGGAGGGCGGGTGTAAGCCCCGGTCCCACAAGAGGTAGACCGAGGACCGGATCCAAGCTGTCGGGGCCATGGGCATCCAGCAAAGTGTCCGGTGGTGTGGCACTGTCAAGCCGCCATTGTGGTTGCAGTTGCATTCCCCTGCTCCACCTTGGAGGCGGGTATGTGTACGTATACATGTGTACATACATACAAGAAGGATGCGCACGCAATTTGGGCCCTCTTTGCAAATACACAGTCGCGCCACCCTGAGGCCGCGGGCGAGCAGCACAATAATGAGCAAAAACATCTGTGTGGCGTGCGAAAGGATGGGTTATGCATTTCAGCTGGTGCCGAGCAATCAAACGACAATGGCTTTGCACGGTACTTTGTGGAGTCGCGGACGGCATGCTGGTGGTTGCTTTGGGCGGCGGGACAACACAGGCTCATGTCAGCAATCTGGTGGAAAGCGGCGATCTTGCCAATTTCTTGCAGCAGTGCTGTAACAGCGGGCGAAAAAAAGTAGTCGACCCTTGATGCCCGGGCCGTTGTCGTCGACAAATAGTAGGCCATGCAGTAAAAAAAGGTCCGAATAGTTCATCTGCTATACTACGAGCCAAACTCCGCCAAGTTGCTTGAGAGTAATACTTTTTTCTTCTGTCATTTCCATTGATGCCGCGTACGAGGGGATGCTGACGGCGCCGTGGAACGGTGGTTAGTCTTGTCAAGTCGGTCGCTGCCGTGTCTTGTAGTAGTCAGACATGGGCGAGTAAGTTTGGTAAGTGATGATAGCAGCACATCGGAAAGCCATGGGGACATGTGAGTCGTAGCGAAATTCGGGACCCAAAGTTAGCAGCTGAGTTGTGCGCTGGGGATCATTGTTCTAGTTGTACATAGCAAAGCAAATCCAACTTTAGGTCATGGTACAGAATATCAGTGGTCCCCCCCCCACACACACACTCAGTGATAGACGCTGAAGGCGACAGTGCACACCGCGACTTGATCACGCGGACGTAGTTCTGGTGACTGTTGCTTTTTTTCGCCTCTGTGCTAAATGCCTCGGTCTCGGGACGATATTGCCGCGGTGACGGTAAGGCTGGAAGGGGGTCGGTTATCTGGGGACTGGGCAAAAGAAAATAGGACAGAAGCAAACGAACGTGTCGGGCCTTGGATCCGATGAACCAGATGTAGCGAGAGCGGCTGGGGTGCGTCAAAGGCTTTTTTTGATGTTGCAGATGTTCATGTATAATGTGAACCGGTGTGGTTGGAGTCGCTGGGCATCGAGTGCGGTGACGCGCATCGTGAGATTGGGGTGGCTTAGGGGACAGCAACCATGGACAAGGATGGATTAGCGGACAGGCACCGGTTCATCGAGGGCCACTGCCATGTAGAATTTGCAATGTTTGGCTAGCGAAACAGTAGTTCCCGATGTACAACTCATGAAACAAGCGTCACGCCGCATGTAGCGACGAGGAGCAGTCACACCTGATGGCTTTGTGGCTTTGTGATTCGGCGGGCCGCCCCAGATGACCTCGAGAAATTGCGGTGCAATCGACTGACGTAGCATGTCTGCCAACTTGGACGGTACCAGAGGACTATCGGGCAGAGGGGGCTTGCCTGGGGGGGGGGGCACAGAGCCCTCTTGGCAGGGTACATGGCGCTACCCCGACGTCTGGCTGGGAGTGTCTGGGGAAAATGGTTGTGGTAGAGTAGCAGCAGTAGTGTTTGTCGACAGCCGGCATCTTCACCCGGTGGCGACACGGGGCGTGTACCTCGTGCGCGGTGACCCCTGCGGGCGACCAACGCATCCAGGAACCTGGCGAACAATGGGTCGAGTATTCACAGGCACAGGGTCATGACTTTGGGCAGTGCGCCAGATGGCAGCGATGGCAGCGATGGCGGCAATGAGGGCGGCAGTGGTGGGCGGCAAAGGGCGAGCCACATGGCAGGCAGTTGCGAGGGCAGCGGCCGTCTGCTACCTGGAGTGGTGCTCTCCTACTTGCTGCTTGCTACTTGCTACTAGACGGCTTGACCGCCCAGTGAGCGGCAGAAGTCAGGTACCCCGTGATGGAGGTACCCTGGTGCGGGGAGGGGTGTGATTAGCGCAAACGGCAGAAGCGAGCAGGGAGTGGCAAACAGAGCGAACGAGTACGGGGCGGAGTGAGTAAGGCGGGTGTCAAGAGCTTGTGTGTGCGTGTGTGTGAGAGAGAGAGAACGAGAGAAGGGTAAGTAGATGGCTAGGTTTGGTGGTGAGGCTGGCGGGCCGGGGGAGGCTTCGTTTGGAGGTGTGGAGGCAGGATGTGTGTGTGTGGGCGTGGAGAGGGTACTTCTCTGGTGCCATTGACTCAGGGTTCAAAAGAGGCGCACTGCCGGGCGAGGCAAGCACATGGGCAATGGACAATTCGAGGGGGCTAGAAGCGTGCAGGGGCCAGTGTGCAGTGTCGGAAGAGGCGAAGAGGGAAAAGCAAAAGGAACGCAGGCGGAAGACGAGGGTAGCTTCCGCGGGGAGACGCGCCATACCGCAAGCAGGCTAGCACCTCACATGGCACGCACAAGATTTTCCAAGCGGTTGGCCGCGTCTGGGCTGAGTCAGCGGTATTGTACGGTATCTGTATCGCACACACGGTAATGTTTCTGGGGCGGGGGCGCAGGTGACGACGAGCCCCATGGTGCAACGGATCCGCGAGCAACACTCGACCCAAGCAGCAAGACCCACGACGGGAGGCAGACGGTGCAACCAGGCGGCTACGTCAGCACCGCACATGTCACGGCGGGCGGCTGGTTGGCTGTGACCGCCACAGCAACGGCGTGGGCGTGGGCGTGGCCATGGTGGCCATGGCATGAGGCATGAGGCGCGAGGCATGAGATGCGACATGAGACAGACGGTAGACATGACGAGTCAGGGCGACATGTTCTGGAAGTCCCACAAGGGGAGCGCAACCTGGCCAGCCCGCACGTCCGCCGTGCATGCGAGCGAGACATCATGTGCCTCCCCACGCCCAGCCGCAGACCCATTCACATCACAAGAGCCACGCGCGCGGCGGCGGTACACGGGGGGGTGCACGCCGTGGGCACACCTGGCCTAGGTGGCGTTGGGGGCCCTGGATGCGTTGTTCCTTTCTCTCCAGGGCAGGGCAGGCCAGGCCAGGCCAGGCGGAGGCCGTGTGGGAGGAGAGAGGCGGAGGAGGCTGCTGCTGCTGCTACACCACCACCCGTACCGTCCCAGCATGTCGTAGTAAGTATAGCATGTACCGTACGCCCGTATGGGCATGGCGAGCTGGCCACGAGCGTCGCAGAGACTGACGCCATGGACCACGGGCTCAGCGTGAGAGTCGGCCAAAGAGCGGTAGAAAGGCCGGACGGGCTCTGGATGCAATCTGCCGGGGGGTGCTCCGGCGGCCCTTATCCTAGGGCTAGGGATGCATGGGTAGGGTAGTGGGAGGAGGGAGGGGAGGGGGGGGGGTGCGTGCAAGGGAAGGGAGGTGTGGCCCAGGTCGTTGCTCTTGCTCTGGCCGCACCCCTGTCGCTGCAGTCCGCGCACACGCTGTGGGCTTTATACATACCCAGATCCACTCCCACCTGTGCTGCCACCAGACGTTGCCCTCTCACACACCCACATCCACACACATACATACTGCACCTACCCACTGCCCACAGTATCTCTCCTCTTCCACCATCAACACCACCACCACCACAACAACAACAAAACCACCAACTCCATCCACGGCATTCCATCCATGTCTCCGCGATCCCTCTAGTCCCGCCGGCACTCCCTCTGCTCGGCTCTTCACCAACCCTCCCCCATTGACGCAATCGCAACTAAAGTAAACCGCCCACCGCCCACCTCCAAGAACCACGACCACGGAACCACGCCGTCCCCACTGCAACTCCCCCCCCCACAAATCCCCGTCCCACGACCACCGACACTCGCTCCTCTACTCTTAACCTCCACACTCCAAAGACATGCCTCTCCGCGCGGAAAGGCCCATTGTGCGCGTCGAGCCCAGCTCCATGCGCACCATCGAAACCAGCAGCACAGAGAACCTCTTTGGCCTCTGGTCTGGTGAGTAAACCATGCACGACCGAGCCACTGCAACCCACTGCACACCCAGCCCGCCGGGAGCTGCAGCTGGACAGCAGCCTCACTCACCACCATAGACACATGCACTAACACAGCTGCAACAGTATTTGCGCGATGCTCCCCAGCCATGGAAGACGGCAAGCGCTACGAGAACATGGCATGGCGTCTTTGGTCTCGCGAGACGTTTTGCTGCCAGCCTGATTCGCTCACATCATCCCGTTGGTCGCTAGGTCGTCGGCTGTCAAGCAGCGCCCCGGACGTACCCGAACTCTCCACCAGCGTCGCTTCCGACGAGTCCAATCTGGACAGCGCAATCACCTCCACCTCCCGCTCAGACCTCTCCGCCTCACGCCCCGACCTCCGCCGCCACGACTCGGCAACCAGCCATGCCCGTGGCAAGCACATGACTCCCATTGGCCTCGAAAAGGTCGTCAACTCAATACAGGAGAAGAAATTCATTGAGCCCCTCTCGCCTCTCCCAGCCGAGCTCGCCGCCCCGATACCCGAGCTCAAGCCAGCCGAGGAAGACACGACGCCTCGCAGCGCCACTCCCCCCTCGCACGCCCGCCCCATTCCCGAAGCCTCGACATCGACCGTCGCCACCAGCGTCGGCTGCGACCTCATGAGCCCTGCAGTCGGCTCAGAGGCTAGCACCTCGACCGACGTGAGCGAGCACAGCGTCGTCCGCGGTTTCGAGCCTGGCCACATCTCCACCTCGATTCGCTCGAGCACTAACCTCAACCCCACCCCCATCCTCAAGAAGACGTCGAGCTTCATCACCAAGCCGCTGCCCGCAAAGGCTGACAGCACCAAGAAGAGGCAGCCCATGTTCACCCTCGGCGGATCCTCCGAGGAGGAGAACTGCAGCTCCTTCGAGGCCTACTCCATGGCCCAGCGCAGCTCCCTCACCGAGCACCTGCGCAAGGCTGCTGCCCCCATGCGCAAGACGACTTCGTTCAAGACCGAAGTCAGCACGCGCACCTTCCAAGACGCCACCTCTGAAAGCGAGGCGGCCATTGAGAGTGACAGTGAGGATGACATTGACGAGAGCGCCATTGAGGAGGAGGACTCTGATGACGACGACTGGGAGGACGACGACAACGAAGAGAGCGGTCCTCCCAGTGTTGCTGACCGCACTCCCCTGTTCCAGCGGGTCGACTCCAAGCCTGACCTCACCTCGCGTCGATCGCTCCTCACCACCGCTCTTCATCAGGATGACCGTGCATTGGCGCTCCAGAACGCCGCATCCCGATCATCCCCTGCCATCCGTCGATCCCGCACATCGACACCAAACGGCCCCTCTACCGGCAACTCACCCCACGAGGACAGTGGTCTGATGATGATGCGATCCCAGGCCTCTCGCCCCAAGCCCATCATCATGACCACGTCCAACGTGCACCCACCTGCCATGTCTCCCAAGACGACAAGGCGCAACATGCTGACCTCTGAGTTGACTGGAAGCTTGAGGCAAAACCTACTATGGGAAAGGCAACAGAAGAATGCCACCACCAACGCAGTCGCAAAGCGCCAACAGAGCGCTGCGAACCTGCCTGGCCTACGCCGAGCAATGACGACCGGCGACGTCAAGGGCCTCAACAACAGCAACAACGAGCAACAATCGCAAGCCAAATCATCGGCCTTCAAGGATGACAGCAAGCCCAGCAGCACGTACAACCAGTTCTTCGACTCTGGGCTTGGCGATTACCACAAGTCTGGATGGTAGTCAAGCATCATTCTTTTTTGCTTTTCAACGTTTGCACTTCTAGCGGCATCTATGGTTTGGCATTGAACCAGGGCGTTTTTGTGTTTTAATTATGCTCTTCTTCTTCTTCTTTTTTTCGGTTTGTTTTTTTTGTTCTCTATTCTACCTAACTTGCTGCCCGTCTCTTATTTTTTATTTTTTTGTTCCAGACTTTTTTTTTATTGTTTGGCGGGCCGCCCAGTCGAGTCGACTCAAGGGCGGGCCAGCCGATCTGGGGTAATGTTCAACCCAAAAAAACTTCTGATACCATCAGGGCTTTGAGTATGGGCCCGACGAGGCTACGAATTTCTTTCATGCAGTCATTGCGTTTGACATGGGATTGCGTCTTCTGTATGTGGAAGATGGGGTCACGGCTCACGCCTATCTGGTCTGTACTACTACTACTACTATCACCTGGACTGTACTTTTATCGGGCTGTTTGCCCGAGCCACTATACCCTGGAATGGGACGGCTTTTGCGGAGCTGCCCGATGATGGAAATAACCTCGCATGAAAGATAGCAGGTATTTGCCTACATAGGTACTTAATGACAAAAAGCGGATTTTTACATTACTCAAACGTTCGACCCTGCATTGCACGTGCGTATCTTTTTCGGTGACTTGTGATGGGTGATATGATGGGGGATGGGGAGGGGCCGCCGGTGAGGCGATGCACGAGACACCGAGGCAATACTTGCTTGGGGTAGTTTTTTGATTGATTTCTGTCGCAATGTCAGGTGTCCAGGGATTCAAAGTCCCAACAAAAGAGACACATGCTCGGTTTGGAGCCGTTTGTTTGGCAGGCGTCTTTACCGCTCTTCCGTATCATCTACCAGAGCTAGGTAGCCCAGACGAGCGCTTATGCACGCTTTGATGTAGGCTTCCCTGCGGCGCGCGCGCTGAAATACCACCCATGGCATGCAACACATGTCATGACTTATAACTTTGTCATCTATTGTAACAAGGCAACCGTGGACGGCCGTTGGGAGAGGGGGGGGGGCGGGGATGTATGTGTGTGTGTGTGTGTGTACATGAGTAACGGGCTCACTTATTACCAATGTAGATAGCTCTTGGCCCAGGGTGACATATATGGGTAATAGTGAACAGCCAGCACTTGGTCTATTTTATGACGAAGCTGCGCCTCACAAATTACCTCTGGCACTAGCAGTCGAGGCCGTCGCGGGCCAGTGTCTATCTGCCAAACCGGTTCCCGCCTTTGTTCGGGCCGGCTTCCTGTCCAACTGCGGTGTTGAGACGGCGTGCCTCACCTGTGCTGCACCGACTGCGACTCATCACCGGAAGGGCAGGATAGCTCATGTCTGTGTACTTGGTTAGTTACTTACTTGGGAGTATGACCGTGGGCAATCAGGAGGTCGTGTCGCATGAAACACAGGCTGCACTCGATATACGCCAGCAATTGTTTGACGTGCATCATGGTGGGATCGGCGGCGGGCGAGACTCGACTGTTGCTGCTGCTTCTGCACGCCGCACCGCTCATGCTCATGCTCATCAGCCTTATGGCGCAGGCGTAGGCGCAGGCAGAGGCAGGCGCAGGCTGCGAGCCCAAGCCGACTGCACTCGCCCATGACACACTCCCACACACACACAGCTTTGTCCTCCTTTGCCCACGACACCGTGTCCATCAACCACAACAACGGGCTTTCTGCGCAATCAAGCAAGGCGTCTCCGGAATGGACGACAGTGACATGCTTAATGTCCGCTCTATTCATCCCGCTTGCGCCCACTCACACACAACGTCATGCTTGCAATGACTCCCACGCGCCCCCCCCCCTCCCCCATCTCCCCGCCGCTTGTCCTGCCCTGTCCTCGACTACTTTTGCTTCGTCGCCCCTCACTACTGTATAGCACTCTATTGCCTTGCCATCTGCCTACGCAAGCCTCGCCAGCTGACTTGCGGATAACCGTCTCGCCAATCTTCCCCTTCACCTTGGTTCAGCAAATGGGAACATCCACCCCGGATCGTACGGGCTCAGCTCAGCGGGCGGACCCAGTCAACCCGCATTGTTGACGCGCACCCTCTACCACTTGCCTCCCTCCCCCGGAGGGCGTTTGATCATCTGGATGCTAAAAAACAATCCTCTGTGTCTGCATTGGCGGACGGAAGTGCTCTATCAGGCACCCGCAGCAACTACCCCGCGGCAACCAAGTCGGTCTGGAGGTTGATGCGCTGGCAGTTTAGCGCCTGCGAGTGGTCATCTGAAGCCATACTCGACGAGTTATCTTGAAGATGATTCAGCCTCATGTACAAGGCCCCTTCCGCCACGCAAAATGCTCCCTGGCTATACTTGTGTCAAGCCTCTGTCTGGTAATACGCTGACATTCGTCGTCGCCGTCACCGTGATCGTCGCAACCGCTCCTCGCTACGGTTGGCAATCACCTGGGACCGGCCCTGTCCGCCCTTTTATTTGTTGCTCCCGTGCAATCCAGGCGACATTGCTCGTCACATGAACTCGCATTGTCACACATTGTCCCATTCCACAGGTTGGTCGTTGTCGTCGTCGTCGTATACATCCATCCATCCATCCATACGCTGGTGACGTGCCCTCTTTTTGTGCCAATTACTGCTCCATGCAGATCTGGCGTGGCGTCCTGCACTCGCATTCGACTAATAACATGTTGAAATGCTTGTCTGAGTACTACTACAATTGAAGCGGGCGATAATCAACTGCCGCCAGGCGGCAAAGCAATACTCCACACAGCCTGCCCGCCTGCGCCGTCGACACCACCGTCGGCTTTTGCCCTGCTCAAGCGTCGTGGCCGCGGCTTCATACCCCATTGACTGGACACACGGAGTATTACACAGCGCCAGCATCTCCCGTCAATACATGCCGCATTACACCGCTTACGATCATCACTTCACAGCCTGCGACTCTTGAGAGACAACAGGACCTAGCCCAAGCCACTCATCTCGCATACTACGGCTTATCACTCCAGTTCGCGGTACCATCTACCGCTTCCGGAGCAACAGACAGGGTGCCAGGATACTTACATCAAGCCCTCCACACACACACACACACACACACACACACACACACACACACACACACATTTGCCCCACCCCCTCCTCGGCGCGCTGACGCCGTTGCTCACCAGTACCATGAGTCTTCGGCCCTACCGCCTCATTATCAATTGACCACTCTGCTTGGCACCACATGCTACCCCTTCTTTGACAAGTACCAAGGGCGTTCCGAAAGCTGACCATATACCCCAACTCTTGGGAGTTTCATTGTCTTTTCTTACAACAAAGTATATGCAAGTCTAATAGTCTTTGTCTCACCGCATCCACAGGCGCCATTACAAAAAGGCTATTGACGCAATATTATGCAAGCTCCACTTCGGAAGGTTTTGCTCCAAGAGCATATACATATTAATCTTCCCGGGCCATCGAGGGCTCCGTGACTTGAAAGCACAGAACCAAGAAAACAATACCCCTGACGTCGTGCTCCTTGAGAATGACTGTTATTTAGTATCTTCTACGTCACCCTCTAGCTTGAGACAGGCGCTTGGCCAGTGACAATGTTATAGCTTTAGCTCCATGGTCTCGAATGCAATTGGCACCTCTTGATTGATAGCATTGCTAACATCAAGCGCCGTTTGACATCCGCCTAGTCAGATGGTCTGTGGACTCGATCGCGATCCCCACAAACTTTCAGGGAGATCTTGCAGTTGTATCTCGATGGATCATCGCGAACATCCTAATCAGAACCACATGAGCGGCCGTGTTGACAACACGAGACCTACCAAGATTGTTCGTCTTTTTCTTCCCTACTCTTAGTAACAGACAGATGTAGACTCCACTTGGATAGATCTATGCCAAGGCCGGATCTAGCCCTACGTCGCCTACAATCCTCCATAGCCTACGTCATTCAGCCCCCCCCCCAGCCTCCACACCAACTCGGACGACTTGTTTTCACACACTGGCCCATTGACTACAACAATGGATCAAAGTTACCGGCCTATGGTGGCCTCAGCAACGCTCAAACGTCCGAGGTTCCATGACGAGGGATCCCATAACATGTGTTCATGAACCTCTCTCGGCGGTGAGTACGATTGGGCCGGGATAGGCCTGCACCGAACAAGTACACCCAAAGTACTTTCGGCTATTTTTCGCAAACACCGAGGCTTCTCTGATACGAACACATGGGCAATGGACTGCTCAAAGCCCCGTGTCTGAAGTATGCTATGGTCCCAAGAGCTGATTTCCCGGCATGACGTTCTCGATCGTGAGTACCCTTTACGATTCACAGACTCGGTCGTGCACCTGACTCGGTCCATGTCGCGCCCACGAGCCCTGCGATAAAGGGTAAGTATGACACCCAATCGAACTTGACCAGGTGCAGCCGGCATCGCAAGTTGAAGAGATCTCGGATATTAATTATCGAGTACGAGGCAACGACGATGCCAGTTGGTGGGGGGGAAAGACGACTTGATTTGGTGGCATGCAAGACATGTGGCTTGGATCCAAAGGAGACGCCGTTTCCTGGTACCCTACCGACAAGGCGCAACCTACGACTAGGAAGCGCTTCCCCGGCCTCAGGTGGCATGGCATTTATCTGGGACAGGCCTCCTTGTCCAGGGAAGCTGAGATTCTGTTTTAAGCATACGGAGTAAACTCCGGAATTATGCCATGTTTTATTACCGACCCTGAATTTTTCTTGGACGATTTCTGACAGACGGAAGGTTTCTCAGGATCAGGTGCTTCAGACGTTGCAGCAACAGGGGTTTCCCCCACAAGTCAGTACCGCGCGCCCCCGAACTCACCTTACGCGGCACGTTCGAACATGTTGTATGCAGTACAATAATACAATTGATCTCAACCGCGTATAGTTATACTCAGCCATCGAGCGACGTGTTTCATTCTTACAGGCAAGGGGTAGGACGATGACTGAACTAAGCCACTAATTGCGCGCTCGTCGGGCGCTGAACTCACGAATGCGAATGGTGTTGGGGTAAGCTGCGATGGGAACCGAAAAAACGCACTGCCTGGCAGCTGGCCACGCTCCTTGCTCCAACTCTGCCTGGCGCATGCCCGGAAGGATAAACGAGTCATGAGAGCACTTGTGTAGTATCTCGTGTTGGGCGGCGAGCCTACGTGCGTAGCTGCTGCCGTTACATGTGAAGCCCAAGAGCCAGGGGCGCTGAAATGCTTCGGATGAGACTTTTAGGTGTGCGGTCCGACCTGCTTGTCCTCGGCCCTTGCTCACGCGGTGGCTTCATTATCACTGAAAGGCTTCCTGGTCCCCACGTGTCGAGACATCCAAGTGACGCCGAAACCCTGAAGATCTCCAAATTGGCGACGAGGTCGTTCCAAGTTTTTACTGCTACTAAGCCTATTTGTGTTCCAGACATGGTGCAACCACCAGCGAGCGGAACGTTGATTAGCTTCCCCACTGGACCTTTACCCCGCAAGCCCTCTTTGGATATGGTTAGCTAGACAAACTAGGAAAGTCCCGACGTGTTTTACCAAGGCACAGCTTGGAGCGAAGGCTTTTGGACATGTCAGGTGTTGCTGACAAGACTCGGGAACGGTGGTTACAGTTCCCCAGACGGGCAACCCCAGACGTGGCACGTCAACCAGTTTGTGATGACAAGGGGGAGTGGCTGACCCACCCGTGCGCAAGTGCAAGCCCAAGCGACGTCAACCAAGATGGCCGCACCACTGTTTCCATGGATCTTCGCTGCTCGCAACTTAATCCACCACTGATATTGTCGTCATCGTACCCATGCCCACAAAAATTCCACTCAATTGCCGAATACCCCCAAAATCTGCCTCCCCACATATCCAAACGTACCCTTTTTTTGTAACGATCACGGGGCTCCGCAAAAAAACCAAAAAAAAACAAAGGTAGATCTTTTCTGGGGTCAACACTTGTGCTTAGACTCGTCACGGGCGGTCATGACGTACATCTGGAGAATGCAGGTACCACCACTGCCGATCGTATATTACCGAATACGGCAATCCGGATAAATTCTCCACTCAGCCTTGCCGCGTAAACGGTGGAAGAATACACCCAGTAGAGCGGCCTGGTCAGCCTCACCCGGCTGCATTGAATTGGGCAAGCAGTATGTGCAGGACTAACTAACCATGGCCACACATGACTGATAGCGTAGCTGCATCCGCAAATGCACGCTGCAGCATTATCATCCTGTCAAGCAGATATAACATCTCCCCCATTATTGACATGGTCTAGCCTTTACTGTGCACATCTATCTGCCCACCACCTATCCCGTATTTCCTATCTTGGCATTGGTGCCGGATACGTATCACGCCATTGTAGGGTAAGCTCACACCACAAACGACGGTAATTGGCGACTGTAAATCTCCTTTGTCGTTGAAACGGGCTATCTGTTTGATAAGCGATATATCCCTCCCCCGCTTCCCCGGACACATTCAACAATTGTTTGAAACCCAAGTGCAGGCTTGATCCGATCAGCCCGTCTTTCCTAAAGCGGCGTAGACCAGTGTCTTTTCCAAAAGAGGAAATTGCAAATTGCGTTGAATACGGAACTGTGTTGCATATACACACACACACACACACGCCGCCCATTTCGTCGAATCGAACACGGGGGGGGGCAAATGAAAAAAAACAATGTGCATGTGTGCGTGTGTATGTGTAGTAAGTGACGCCACTTGTCTCACTATTTCGTTTCCTCGATATACTTTTTTCTTCATCGATAATCAAAATACGAGAGAGAGAGAGAGAGAGAGAGCCGGATTCAGAAACTTTGACGACACACACTCATCATCGCTTCATCATACTCGCGTCAACAATGAACAACAAACAACTCTTTTTTAGTCGTAAATGACGCGAAGGGAAAAAAAATAGATATTTGTTGGGAAAACGAGATTACTTAGGTCTTACGCCACATCTGGGTAAGCTCCGCCCTTGTTGTGTGGGCCTTTGTGGCTTGTGTGATTTTCTCGGAGCGAAGGCTTGCTGCTGCATAATGCATCACTTACATGTTGTCACTTGCATCGACGGTGACTTTTTTTTTTGGCGCCATCGTGCCGTTGTTGCCTGGACGCAGGTGGTATGCGCTAAGGGTAGCCGAGCTCTGCCGATGTATTCACATGTTCTTTGGGGGGGGGGAGGAAAAGAAAAATTACATGCGGGTGTGGAGATGGGGAATTGATACCGATACTGTAATATTCACATGTGCGCGGAGGGTACACATTCACATGTACTCCATAATGCATCTGCATCCCAACCTCCCCATACTTTGAGCGATTTGCAACGCAAATCCACCTTCCTTCCCCCTTTTCGCCATCAAGAAGACTCGAATCGAATCGAATCGAGTCAAATAATCCTATCCATGAAATCACCACCCAATCATCCTTCCTTACTTCCTTCCTTTTGCCCCGAATCCCCATCGACACACGCACACACACTATCGATTCCCCTATCCCTGCAAATATCACCCGTCCTGTCCTGTTCTCCTCCTCCGTCTCCACTCACTTCCCTTCACATGTCCCTTACCTCCATAGCCCCGCGTACGAGAACGAGAAGAAAAAAGAAAACGTGAACCCGTAAACGTCCGATAACAAAGACCCACACACACACATGACGCTTTTCTCTATACTTATAACCCGAGTCTTCTAGACCCTTTGTTTTTGAAGGGCGACTCCACCCACCAAACGGGGTTCGTAGAAAAAAAAGAAAATAAGCCCGGTTTTTTTTCTCTCCCCTTGTCGTTCTGAGTAGTCGACTGGATATATTGTTGAGGCGCATGAGGAGTCGGATCGCTTTGCGCACCCTCGAGGTCTACTGTTGCATGTTTATTTTCTTTTAGCGGACACCGCCACGCAAGCAGTTGGGTGGGGTATCGGAGGTCTCGTGTATGTATGTGTGTGTGTGTGTGTGGGTCGGAGGTCTCAGGTCTTTTCGACCATGGACCGTAGGCCCGTTAGTCGTTAATCGGAGGTCCTCTTTTTTTTCTCCCCACCTTGCGGCGCCTTTTCCTTTACCTACTTACCTACTTACCTACCTACCTACCCTTTGTAGAAGTAAGTAAATAGTAGGCAATAAAGTGCGTGCGTGCGTGCGTGCGGCAAAGTGGGGGGTTGTGGTTAATAACAACAAAAGGCCCAGATAATAGCCCCAAGGGGTCAAACAGCCGCGAAAGAATGGGTGGTTTGCTTTCACATGCGACGATGCATGGAGTGCTAGTGTGATACCGTGCCTGGCTTAGTCTGGAAGTTATCGGAGGTTCGCTAGGGGAGCGGGAGGAAGGAGAGAAAAAAAAAGTCGGAGGTTAGCGATGCGATGCGATGCGGTAATGCCCGATTGTGGGTTTCGCTATAGCGTAACGTACAGGGGTGAAGGAGGTGTGTCTCAACAAAGAAGGCCAAAAGGGTGGCTGGGAAAGTTTATGGAAGTTTTTTGGTTAATTCTGGTTGTGAACGTGATGCTGGAATGTTTTTTGGGGGGGGGATGACAGCCGGTAAGTTGGAATTGTTCCGAGATTTTTACCGTGACGGGCGGCGATTGAGTTTGGTGATGGACGTGGCTTTTTTTTTCTTCTCTTGCGGTTCACGCTAGAAGGGTGCATGGAAGTAGAAGCTTTTGGATCCTTGCTTCTTTGTTCTGGTTCTTTCGCTTATGGAGGGAAGGGAAGAAGGTTTTGTTGAATACAGAGCTAGATGGGTTTTTTTGTCCGATGTGGCGTTTACCGTCTTTAGCTACAGGACTGGGTGTATGGAGACGGACGGGTAGTGTGCATTGCTTAGGCGCCGGGATGAGGGGCTGGTGAACCCGCATCTTCTTTGGAATGGTTCGGATCTGGGTTTTTTTACTTGAAAAGAAACAAGGGAGTGATTGTGACGTGTAAGTATCGCACTGAGCGTAGAGCTGATACGATGGTCCTTGCTTCTTGCTCGTCTTGCCTCTGCATCTCAATTACTCTGAGATACCCAAATTACGAACTTAGTCGTGCTTTCTGATGGAAAGCAAGAAACGGGGGGTGAGTCTAGTCATACATTTCATACACGTACTGTCTACACTACGTAGGAGACATGTGTGGATATTGTGAAGCAACTTCCTTGCACTTCCTCAGTGTACAACTCAATTGCATTTTGAGATATATATTCGTCGCTTTCCACTCCAAATCCATACACTCACGTGCAAAATCATACACGCATTGCTGTATCCAGTGCAATATTAGTCCCGGTCATTCACTGTATTCCTTGAGTACGTAGTATCTTCTACACTTTCACAGTAGCAGCAGTGATGCTGGGTAACTTGATCCTTTTCACCTATCATCTCTTACACGTACTTTACTGTAGGACTTTTACACATATACCCGTCATAATCCGTTCCCCCTTCTTCACCCCATCTATGTTTTAGACCCGCAGAAGGAAGACACTCAGTCCCATTACTACACTGCCAAGTCAACACTCTTCACTCATGAGTATCCGCTTCATCGAATGCATACATATTTCACATTGAGAACACGAAAAAGAGCTAGGCCAAACATTCATTGCGAATAGAAGCCATCTTACATTCAGCGTTTCGCATAAACCTGTGACCATCCCTTTCGCCAAAGAAGTGATCAAAAGCACCTCTACCTTGAAACACGGAACGACGTGCAAGAAATCCTCGTGTACCACTAAAAAACTACCATCCATCTCTCATATCTCGCATCCAAACCCCGTTTCCCATTCGCCCTCTAGTACCTCTTTCCTTGCTCTGCTCTACCATCCGTACACTATCCCATCCACCCAACCCGCCCCTTCTTCCCTACACTTGACAATATCCCAATCCCTAGACCTAGTTCGTTATCCCTGACACCTCTTCCCTACCCTGCACCCCCTCCATATACCTAGCCCTTTTCATACAGCACATCACTTACAAATGAAATATTTACAAACGAACTCCAGTGTATAACTCCTAGTAGCACACGCTCACCATTTCGCTAAGAATAACTAGCCAAAGAGAGAGAGAGAGACAGCCAAGCAACACTGAATCTTTATTACCACCACGGAATGGATCCCAGTGGCTAGATGAAATTACTTAATTCAATGTAGGCTAAAGATAAAGTACTTGGGGATTTTTTGCAAAGCATCTCATTGCGCCAGAGTAGTTCGAGAGAAGTAGTAGAATACACCACGCCGAGTTGATATTACCAAATAGAAGTACAACGCAGTCTAGCTATCAAGATACGTAGCGTGTATGTTTGTCTAGATCTAAATGGCTTTTTTTTCTATAGCGATCACCTATCGCTTTGGCTGACGTTATCAAGGCGATTTCAATCGTAATGCACAGAGAGTGCAAGTCGCACAGTATGAAACGTAAGAAGAATAAGCAGTGAATTCGTCACCACAACCGCCAAATCAGAGAAGCACACTTCAACAATCATTCCAAAGTCATGTGTCATCATGATCCGTATATTTCTTATTCGTTTTGAACAGTCCACGGGTATACCAGTGACATCTCGATGCTTTCTAACTAGCCTCAAGTCTCAAGTCTCGCTACATGCTAGTATACTCGAATCGGACACT